ATGTGGTCTACAGAGATCTTATACTCTTTTCTCTGTAAATGCCGAAGGCTTAGCCTATATCTGGATTATACACACAACGTTTGATCTCGGGACAGCGGCACTATTTACAGCACTCTTAAAATAGACCTCGGTGACCAGCCTGAATTAATGGCGAAGCCTGATGAGTTTTGTGCAAGATCACACTTGAAACCTTCTGGAAAATTTTGGCACTTACTATGATCATTTTATGAGCTCTTCTCAGTGCAGATTCACCGTCCAACTTTATCAGGTCAGACTGTGTATAATGGCCTTATCTCAGGATATTTAGGCCTAAAGCACTTCCATGCAGTGCAGTGTTAATGAATTTCACAGTTTAAGAAGGTGGAGCTTGTTTGCAACAGGTGATTGAATGACAGTCAGTGGATTATAATCTTAACCTGGCTAAAGTCTTCGCTGACCCGTCCTGAGGACGCAGCAGGACAGAATGAGATCATCGCTGTAAAGAGGCCTATTAACTCTACAGCTTTACACCTTTCTATTGAGAAATGAATGACTAATTGGTTAATGTACTAGATTGTAATGAGGTCCCCTCGCGTCTGCTGAAAGCTCACAGCGCTTGTGTCTTCTTACTTGATGGGAATTATGTGATGTGCTCTGATGTGAAAACATGGTAAAGGTAAAACGGCTGTTGGATTATTGTGTGTTTGATGACAAAGAGAGCAGCTTTAGTTTTCTAGTCCGCCGTGGGCTCTAATCTGCTTTTATCTTATTTTGGTGGCGATTAGGGCTGAAACATGTTTTTCAGAGCACACGGAAAACTTCCCACAGTCAAGGATGTTTTCCAAACACTTAGATTGTATGTGCATTTGTGCAAATCTCTTTATCTAATAAACAAACACAATGTATAAACTGCTTATATTGACTAGTGCGTTAATAATTAGACTTTTTTTAAATGACTAAACGAGACTTTTCATAAAACCAGTGAATGTTTATTAAAAACAGCTTTTTTAAATATAAAAAAGACCCCGATGATGATGTTAAAACTGATTCAATAGGCTGTTTGCAGTTTTTTTTTGCCTGTATGTTCATCCAGAACAGAAGAAAATATAAAAATATCATTTGTTTCGCTGTAATAGTGTCGTGTTGTTTGCTGAGGTTTCAGAATAGTTTGCCGGCAGCTGCTTTGCAGTCCTGTGACGCTCCACCCGTGTCAAAGCCTGTTTGTTCGCCCCTCTTATAACACATCCATGCATTGTGTGGCATAAAACAGTCTCTAGAAAGCTACAGCAGATCCACAGGATGTCAGCAGAAGTCATTAATGGTCTGCTGTGGCCAGAGGACTCAACAGGTTACAGAGGTCAACAGGTCAGGACTAGGGTTTGTGTTCCTGAAATGAATCACCGAGGTTAACTCAGTGCTTTCATGTGGTCTAAAGCTCATGTGTAGCCAGACTTTTAACATTGCGGCTTCTTCTGGTCTGCCCACTTTGACTATCAAATGTGCATTTCTAAGAGACAAAAAAATTATATTATTATTATTATTAATATTATCAGGCAACCCAAACCTGTTTCTTGATTTGAAACAATATCACTCATTAGAACACGCAGAAACTAAGATTTTGTTAAGGAAAATGAATGGTCTGGTTTCTACAACTTTCACTGTGGAGCAAAAATCTGGCTTTAAACTTGAAAGAAATAAAGATTTTATGAATCTATGACTTATTTTATTTTGACGGGTTGCATTCACACAGAGACACGCTGAACATGCAGGATTCATATTTAAATAGTCTTTTTGTGGTCTCATTCACAGACACTAGTCCATATTGTGATTTTATTTAAGTGTACTGACCTACATTTGATTTATTAAAAATTTGACAAATTCCGTGACATTCCATGTTATTAATTAAATTCCATTTTTATGAAAGATTCCTGCGATTCTGTCCTCGTTTTCCACATCACAGAAAGCATAGGGCCCTATGTTTAGGGAAGAGTTCATGTGGAATCAAAGTTCTCTAAAATATCTTAATTTCTTTCTTTTACTTTTTTTCAGTCTTTACTCTTTGCACTTTATTTTCTCTCTTCTTTCTTTCTCAGTTATGTTCCTTTGATCATATTTTTGGCTGATGTTTATTTAAGCTGAGCAGGACACACTCCAGGTCCGACCCTTCAGATCCAGAGCACACAGGGATGTGTGTGTGTGTGTGTGTGTGCACGATCGGCTCAGGAGTAGGAAGGGAAGGGCACAGATTGGGTCATTGAGTTTCCTGTCCTGGCAAAAACAGGAAACCTGGCCATTGGTTACATTCACAGTCACACTCGCTCCTCTCATCTGTGTCGTCTTAATTTATTTCCTCCCTTCAATTCTGTTGAAATCCTTTACCTGTCTGCTGAAAGCGCCTGCACTGTGCTTTCAGTTCTTCTGGTTCTCTCTTATGATGATGATGATCTAGAGCAGAGGTTTTCAAACTTTTTGGAGCCAGGGACCCCTTACAGGGGAGATGATTTTCCAAGGACCCCCTCATAATTATAACAGTGTTTAAGGTTAAAGTTTAATGTGGATAGGAGGAATGAACATAATATGAATGTTTTATTGGTGCAAATGGTCCCCATTGTATATGTACTTTTTAATACTACAGCATAATATAATTAAATTTACCATATTTTCCGGAAAGTTGCACCAGGTCAAGGGGGAAAACAAAACAAAACCCAAGTTGCATGGTGTGTAAGTTGCATTTTACTATTACTTTCAGAAATAATTTAAATACTGAATAGGTCTAAATAAATCGAATGTTAGGGGGGAAAAAAACATTATAAACACTAACATGAATTTTACTTCCCCTCACTCCAAATCATTTAAATTTTGTGGCATTCATAACAGAACAAAAATAAATCAATATATATGTATATAAAAAAAATTAATTATAGTGCCGATCATTAACCTACAAACAACATTTATTTTAAATGCCATAGGCACCGATCCTGTGGGTGCTCGTGAAAAACACAAGATAGTCTTCGTTCATTTTAACCAATAAGAAATGGATTGCAGCTTTTCAACTTTATACATACATTTATACATTTGAGGCAGTTTTTGGCATTATTTTAATGGATAATGTCGAGAATGCATTATTGTAATACGAGGGGGCGCCAGCACGAATCTCTCGGCTTACGGTGGGCTTGCTCTCCATTATATATGTGATCATGGCTCTGCGCTCCCTCAGATATTACATGTAACTCAAATTTTGTCCTGTGTACGCGCGAATAAGTGCTTTTTGTAAACAGGCATTTATTAAATTATTTTATTTAGTGAAGCACAACCCTTATAGAAAGAATGTGTGTATTATTTTGGTTGGTAATTGCATGCATTTCACTTCGCAAGATACATTTTGTGAAGTGAATTCATCAAACCATCGAACGGAGTATAGCCTACTCTAGAAAAAACTAACACCAAGTATCATGAATTACTGAGTAATGAGAATGTTTAAATATGTTAAGCATTTGTTGCGTATGTGTATGATAACTTAGCCCGGTTATCATTTACTTGTGTAAACAGCGGTGAAAATGTGTTGTATAAAAAAATAAAATGCTCATTTTTTGCACCCACTGGCAGAAACATAAATCGGGGCTTATGGCTATGTCCATAACAAAATTAATTTACTTACTAAAATCTGAAACTTAACCACATAGTGGGCTCGCAAACCTCTCATTCGGCATGAATCGTTTCCATGAGTGAATCGTTATGCAGTCTAACATTTGGTTGCTAAACTATTAGGCTAGCGATAATGACAGCTGTTTGCATAGCTTCTCTGTGAGCTACGGCTCTGTGAAGTAAATGCTGCTCCATCTGAAAGCATGTGAAAATACCACATTTAATAACATATTTTTTACTCCAAACTCACTTCATAACATCAGTCGAGCGTTTGAAATAAATCCTTCTGTGAGATAATGTGGCTTCTTACATAGAATAAGGCATGCAACATATTTCATAGTATTTAAGCAGTGATAAAGGCATTGCATTATAAATATACTTTATTTTAATGAAAATTATAATAATAAGAACTCAGATAAACCGTATATTGCCGTAGTTGTGTGTTTATTAGTCACGTTGAATCAATGAAAGCAGTTGAATCTTCTGTTTATTCAGCTGCAGCCATAGGCATTTTCTGTGTTTCTTCTGCGAGGCGTATTTCTTCTGTTTATTCAGCTGCAGCGATAGGCATTTCCTGGGTTTCTTCTGCGAGGCGTATTTGGAGTTTCAGTGCGAGAGCGCCCTCTGGCCTTTGGATGGAGATTTACTGCTGATCACAGAACCGTGCTTCATTGAAAGATACGCATGACAATCGCAGCTTCTGTCGAATCGCGATCTCGATTCCATTTCGATTTATCGTGCAGCCCTTGGAATATAAATCATAGCACGTTTCAGAAGATAAAAAACGCGTGTTGCAGTCCGGAAAATACGGTATAGCAAATTATTTTGCGGACCCCCTGGCTTTGCGTCACGGACCCCAGTTTGAAAACCCCTGATCTAGAGCAAAGTGCAGCTTGGAGAGATGGCCCATAATTTCACTACTTTAATTGCAGTGCACGAGCGAAAGTCTGACCCTTACTGATTATATCTGGCATGAGTCAGTCAAATCAAAGAAAGAAAAGCTCAGGGACTTTTACCTATATGGACATGAAAGCAATAGTTGATGCTACTGAAATGATGATGCTAACAACAAAGCAATGTCTTTGTCGTAGAGATAAAACATAATTTTAATAAAAAAGTGCAAAATGCATGTTCATGGCTGGTAAATTTCCTCTCTTCACCCATTAAACATTTTAGATCCTGATGATGTTCACTTTCAGTTATTCAGTTGCTGCAATCATGTCACGGTTTTCTTCTGTAGAAAATTACACTGTGTGTGTGTGTTCAATTACACTGTATTCATGCTGCTTTCATTCGGATCAATTAATGCTCTTCAGCATGAGCACTCACAGTCAGCAAAAGATAAGAAATAATGTCATTAACTCTGTGTGTTTCAGGCCAGTCTGTCCATCTGGGGATGGGGGGGTCTGGGAGTCGTCCTCTTCCTCATCACATTTGGACCTTTTGCCATCTTTTATCTGGCCTTCTACATCCTCTGTTTCATTGGCGGGTAAGTGGATCAAAAATACGTCTCATTTCAGTGCGCTTTAAAGGGATAGTTCTCCCAAAAATGAAAATTACCCCATGATTTACTCACCCTCAATCCATCCTAGGTGTATATGACTGACTTTCTTGCAGACGAATACAATCGGAGTTGTATTAAAAAATGTCCTGGCTCTTCCAAGCTTTATAATGGCAGTGAATGGGTGTTGAGATTTTGAAGTCCAATAAAGTGCATCCATCCATCATAAAAAGTACTTAATAAAGGGTTAATAAAATCCTCCCAGACGAATACAATGGGAGGTGTATTAAAAAATGTCCTGGCTCTTCCAAGCTTTATAATGGCAGTGAATGGGTGTTGAGATTTTGAAGTCCAATAAAGTGCATCCATCCATCATAAAAAGTACTTAATAAAGGGTTAATAAAATCCTCCTGAAGCAAATCGATGCGTTTGTGTAAGTAAAATATCCATATTTAAAACTTTATAAACTAATCTCTAGCTTCGGCTAACAGGTGCATGTGTTCACGTAGGCCTGGGCGATAAAAAGGTATCGATATTTATCGACGGTACACCTTCTTCGATAACGATAGAAAAAATGTTCGATATAGCGCACGATATAGGCACGTGCTATGAGTGACGCAGCGTTTATGCAATTTACGAATTATATTTGATTTTTATGAGTTAATTTAGACGTAATGCACGTCTTTTTATAGACAGTTATTTCCTTGCGTTGACAATTTAAATGCGCTGAATTATTTTGCTCATTGCGCCCTCCTGTGGCCTCGGGAGACAAGCCAAAAGTTTAACCTATCTAATCTGCATATACAACATTAGAAATTAGATATTTGTTTAATTTTTATTTTGTGTTTGATTGTTAAAACAAAAAATATTTGTTGTTTGTCTCAATAAATTTGGTTAATTAAAAAATACAGTGGTTAAATTTAAACAGTTTTTTTCTATTGCTCTTTGTTTTAAAAAAGGTTATAAAAAATTTCAATAATTATCGATACCGAACGATATGAAACATTATATCATTTATAAATTTTTTTGCTATATCGCCCAGCCCTACGTTCACAAGAGAGTGGCATTCCAGCAGATGATGTAGGCGTAGAGTAAGCTCCGGTGAGAAGTGACGAATGCGGAAGCGCAGTTGAGAGAGCAAAACTAAACACTGGTCACGAATTAGAAATACAAAACGAGGGTTTGTAAAGAAAAATGTTGGAGGATTTCGCGATAAGCCAAGAGGAGACTGGTTTTCCTTTGCTGTAAACAAAATTTGGTTCTCATGAGACTAGCATCATCCCCTGGAATGCCAGTCTCTCGTGAACGCACATACCTGTTAGCCGAAGCTAGAGATTACAGTTCATAAAGTTTAAAATATGGATATTTGCTTCAGAAGGATTTTATTATCCCTTTATTAAGTACTTTTTATGATGGATGGATGCACTTTATTGGAATCTCAACAGCCACTCACTGCCATTATAAAGCATGGATTAGCCTGGACATTATTTAATATAACTCCGATTGGATTCGTCTGAAAGAAGAAAGTCATATACACTTAGGATGCTTTGAGGGTGAGTAAATCATGGGCTAATTTTCATTTTTGGGTGAACCATCCCTGACCTCTGCAACACCTGTTGATGCTCCAGTATGATGTTGCAATCTCTCTCTTCTCTCTTTCTAGGGGTTTTGTAGTGCTTCTTTTATTTGGAAAGATAAACTCAGAGAAACACCTGGAAAGGTGTGAACACTCCTACCTGCCATCGACACAGACGGCCATACTGAAGGTGTGCATTCAAACTCTTGAATGTTTGTCTTCCCTCTGAGTTTATTTTTATATTTACCACTAGGGTTGGGTATCATTTGGGTTTTTTTCGATACTGGGGCCAAATCGATACTTTTAAAACGGTTCCGGTGCCTGAACCGATACTTATTAAAAAATAAATAAATAAAAATTCCCCCAAAAAATTATGGATTGGCCATTAGCACTATAAACACATGATGTCTGTTTCATTCATACTGGACGCCAGAGGGCGCCCTACCATAGAAAATCCACATATCCAGTCACAGAAGTAGAGAGAGAATATTTTAGTTTTCCAAAAAAAGGACAGTAGGGGCGGGGTTCGTGGGCGGGGCTTCACCTAACAGTATACGTAGCAAGGTTTTTTGTTTGTTTGCTTATTTTGTTTTTATAATAAATAAAAAGAAAACAAATAGAAAGAATAGAAAAAGAATAGGGAATGCTAGTGTTAGAGGGTCATTTTTAAATAAAACAATTCAATAGAACAGAAAAAGAACAGATAATGCTAATGTTAGAAGGTCATTATTTATAATAAGTAAAAATAAAATATGTGGAAAGAATAGAGAATGCTAGTGTTAGAGGCTCTTTTTTCTTTATAAATAAAACTAGTTAGAATAGAACCGATACTTATTACCGCATCCTGAGAGCGGCTCCCTGATGCGCCAACATTTTATACAATGTTAGAATGTTTAAAGGAGTGGACACAAAAATCGCGGGAGCTAAACACATGTTGCGGGAGCAGGCAGCAATGGTCAGAGATTCAGCGGGAGCGGGATTAAGAAAACAGCCGAATCCCGGACATTTTGGGCAATTAAGAAATCCCGGGCCATCAGAGCAAGTGTAATTACTGCATTCACGCGCTCCTCGGATGCTCTCATTTCCCGAGTTGTGCTTTTAAGTCGGAATGTGAAAACAACATGGACACTCTCGTTACTACAAAGATGTGTTGGATTTGTATTATTAGAGTATACGACTTGAGTTCACGTGCATTTTCTCAGTCAGGAAATACTTTTTCACATGCGGTGCCGGTGATGATGCTTCTTACGTCCGTTTCGGAGAACCAGAGGACAAATATTTCAGTCGATCGCTCAGGCATGGCACTGAAATGAGGTACCGAAATCTGTGTTCTGATTCGGTTATATTACATACAGGTTGCATAGGTTCCGGTGCCATATTGGTACCAGGTTTCGGTACCCAACCCTATTTACCTCAACACACAAAAGCATTTGTATTACATTTAATCAATAAAGTATGACATGCAGCTTTTTTCTTACATTTTAATTAAAATGAATAATTAAATGAAATATTTTTATAATAATGTAATTTAAAAAATTTAATAATTAAATGTAATAATAATAGTTTATTAACATTTTAAAAATAAAAAATTGTAAAAAATAAAAATTATTTTTTTTAAAAGTATGACAGGCAGCTTTTTTCTTAAAATGTTTTCATTAAATGTAATAAATTAAATAATTTTAAAAAATCTTGAAAAGCGGTGGTGATTAAAATAAAGGCATTAAACCATTAACAATTCAATTAATCTTTAAAAATATATATTATTATATTTGAAATTTTGTAACAAAGTGTTTTTTTGATAATATTAAAACATGAAAGTAAACATTTGTGATATTCCTTAAAAAATAAAGTTTTATTTTTGTAGTTATTATTATTAATTTGAGAAGTACATTCTACCATACAAAATATTTCTGTCACAGTTTCTTCAAGTTAAACCGAACATTTATTTTGACAGGTTTTGTGAAAACCTTCTGTGGAATTTCTGTGTACATATGATGAGAAAATCATTAACATTTATTTAGATAGTAAATTGCTCATTTTTATTTCATGTTGACTTCGAATTGCACTCATGTTCAACTTCTGAGTTTTAATTATTTGTGTTTGTTTGTCAGGTTTTGGAGGAGATCAAATCAGAGTCCAGACCTATAAAGATTGATCGACGTCTGACAGGATCCAGTATCATAGATGAGCCACTGCAGCAGGTACCGTCAACAAAACCAAACGGACAAATGACCGCGACAGCTAAAAGTGCACGTTCATGTGCTTGAGGAACTTGTGGTTTGTCTACTGATGAGTTGGTCTCAGACTGTCGAGCTTTCGCTTCACAAATGCCATTTGTTTCCACCTGTGACACACGTCAGACGCTGGATCAGCTCGTTTGAGAGTTTAGGCTGGTCTGTTTTTTTTTCATAAAGCAGATGAGCACGACACAGTCGTTTTCAGTCAGTGCTTTTCTGAATTCTGCTTACAATGCATATATTCTGCTAGGGTCACTTTTTTAATGCTACACTTTTAGCTTTTATTTTTTTATTTTAATTCTTTGGAAATTTTGGAACAAAGTGCTGTTTTTCTATAATATTGTGAATGCACTGTATGTATGCAGAAAAAGTTGGACATACTAATATATCCTTCTTTATATAAAGAGCTGGGCGATGATATGGTTACATTTTCCAACGATATTAACAATCACGCAGCTAAGAGTTGAGACTCCATGAGAGTGTTGCCTAAAAATGTTGTCTAGGTCAGCAGCAGACTTGGTTTTTGGAACGAAGCTGATGTGTTCAAAAATGGTTCCTGATTTTTGTGGTTTAGTTTCAGTAACTGCTCTGGGAAGACTGGAGATACTTGCAGATGTGAGAAAAACAACAATAAGTATCTGGTTTTCCATGGTATGACCGCATCTTGTCCCATAGTATAAGACCTCTTTGTGAAAGCGAAATTGCGTTAAGTTACAGACAGTCATGAGAGGGTGTCAGCAGCTCCAGCTCTCAGTCTGTTCTGCTGAGCTTCACATCTGTTTAGGAATGTCTACCCAGAGTCCTTTGCGGAGAAGTGATGGGTCATTGTGTCTGTGCCAAAATGAACGGAGAGCACATGATCCAGAAAAATACATTTCCTTGTGAGGCCCTATGAAATCCAGTTTATTTTTTTCCTAAATTCACTTTTATTTTTCACAAATTCTGTTTTCCATTTCATTTTTCTAGATTCCCTTAACGGTATAATTAATTGATGTCTAATTAATTTAATTAATAAAACTTTAACAAATTAATAATTTCTTATTATTTCTTTATTTATTTTTACAATAATAAGGCCAAATTAAATGTTTTTTTTTTTTTTACTTTTTCGGAAATTCAGTGTTATTTTTCTGGATTTCTGAAATTCTTCATGAGTATTTTATTTAATTTGAGAAAAGCTACTGTCATATATTATACACACATTCACGGCAACCCGTCAAAATAAAAGTTCAGTTTAACTTGAAGGAATTGTGACAGAAATAAATTACTGTTGCACAGCAGACAGTATGTTTCAGTTTAATAATAATAATAATTATCATTATTATTATTAATAATAAAATTGATTATTCAAAATTAATTAAATCATTCAAATAAAGAAACGCATAAAAACAGTAATACAGAAAATTTTAAATAAAAACACAGAATTTGGTCAAAATAAAAACTGTATTTGAGAATCAATAAAACCTATTTCTTAGCGCCCTTAAAATATTTTTTTTAACTATTAAACTTTTAATAGACTTTTGTTAAATTGTGTAAGTTTTATGATTTCAATAAATTAGACATGCTTTTTTATTGCTAAAGTTTAAGAGTTTAACAGAATTTAGAAAAATTAAACAAAAAAACAGAATTCAGAAAAATTACAACAGAAGAACAGAATTTGGGGGAAAATAAAACAGATTTCATATGGCCCCGTTTGTTTCAGGAAAAGCTCGTCTGATCCTCTTCTCATGTCGTTCATCAGGTCATCCAGTTTGCTTTGAGGGACTATATCCAGTATTGGTATTACACATTGAGTGATGATGAAACGTTCCTCTTGGAGATCCGTCAGACGGTCCAGAACGCCCTCGTTGAGTTCTCCACCAGGTAAGACACATGTCCGACCCGTTTCCCCTCAGATCTGCTTTACAATCACTGCTGTATCAGCATTGTGAGTGACGCTGTGGTTTTTCCAGGGATGATGCAACACCTGACCATAAACCAAACACTGCATTCAGATGTTCTGACACATTTTCCCTGGTAAACACCGTGTTGAAATGGAGACTGTTAAGTCCATGATTCATTAAGCGCTCAATCTTTCCATTCTTCAGGTCTAAAGAGGTGGACTGGCAGCCGTATTTCACCACCAGACTGGTGGATGATTTCGCGACTCATCTGCGTGTTTTCAGGAAAGCTCAGGAGAGGCTAAATGAGAGAGAAGATCCGAAACAACGTAATGATCATTCTGTTCTCTCCTCAGTTCACGCTGTCTGCAAAACCAAAACAAACAGTTTATCAGTGGCAATACTGGTAACACTTCATAGTAAGGTCCCATTAGTTAATGGTAGCTAATCCATGAATTAACTTCAACAATGAGTATACATGCATTTATAAGTAACACATTTGTTACGGTATTTACTCATCTTTATTTACATTAGTTAATAAATTCTACTGTTCATTAAATAATTTTAACAGATTTTATTTTAATAATGTATTATTAAATGTTAAAATATCTTTAACTAAGATTAATAAATGCTTAAAAAATATTTGTCATTGTTTGCAGGGTTATTATTAACTAAAACTACAACCAAAAACAGCGTTTGCTACTTAAAAAAAACAAAAACAAACTTAAACTTATTTTATTTCAGCTGGTTACCAAAGAAACATTTCTCATTTTAATTTAGTTTATCTTGGTGAATTTAAATAAGTAAAACTAAAACTGCAATGAAAAATATTGGAAACTGTGGAGACTATATTAAAAATAAATAAAAATGACAAACACAAAAAAAATTAATTAATTACTATTTTGAACTCAAATGAATTATTTAATTTAAAATTAATTATTAAAATTAAAACAGCAAATATAAAAATAAAAGCTAAATCAAAATGGTAATATATATTGCTATAACAATATCTTAATTATGCTAAAATAACCCTTTTTTTAGATTGTTAGTTCATGTTAACTAATGTTAACAAATGAAACCAGAATGTAAAGTGTTAATGCAATGAAGTGTTACTGTAATGAAGCAAAAATGAAAATTGTCATCATTTGCTCACTCTCATGTTTTTCCAAACCCACCTAACTTGATTTCCTCTTTGAAATGCAGAAGTAGATACTGTATTTTGAGGAATGATAATGGTGCTATTTTCAAGATTTAAATTTTGGGTTAACTAACCTTGTAAAAAACAGTTGGATTACAAGTGAGAAGAGCAACCTAGAGCATTTTATGGACGTGGTGTAAAGATCTCAGTATCAGGTCTAGAACTGTTAAGAGCATGTAAAACATAGTTGATTTCCTAATGCCAGTTCCTGTTCACTGAGTACAGGGCATCTTGATTGGGAACTTGATTTTACTGACTCATAGTGTGAGCTTATGTATTTGTGTGTTTGCGGCAGGTGATGCTCCGGACGAGTTGTTGGACTCGTTTTTTGAGGCGGAGGTGGAAATGGAGAGGAAGATTTGTAGAGATGTTGTCTGCATGTCACGCAAGGATGAAGAAGGTAAGACAAACACGGAGGATTTGTGTCTATAGACGGTTCAGAGACTCCAGCCCAGTGATTCAAGGCGTGGTTTTGCTTTATGTCAACAATAGTAATAATTATCTAGGGCAGATCTTAAAAGCCAGATCAGCTGAAAGACTTGATTAGCAAAAAATACAAACACACACCCAGTTATTAATGCTTTGAGCTCTGTCTGGTAATAGAAGAAAACAATAAAATCATTTTTGGGTGGAGGTGTGTGTATAAATGTGCCCTGTGAATATAAAAGATGTCGTTATCACCACTGCATTCCATCATCATTATCAGATGAATGATCACAAATCATTTACTCACCCTCATATCTTTCTAAAACCAACTTTCTTCTTTCCGTGGAGCACAAAAGGAGATGTTTTGATGAATGTTTACGCTGCTGTTTTCCATACACTGAAAGTGAATGGGAAAAGTAGCTGCTTAGTGTAAAAAATGGACAAAAAACACCATAAAAGAAGTTTGTACAACTTGTGCGCTTCATTCAAAGACATCTGAAATCATACAATACAGGGTTTCTGCAGATCCTTAAAAAAAGTATTTTATAAAATGTATGGTCTTAAATTGTTTAATTTTTTTTTTTTTTTTTTCGATTCCTTTTTAATGGTTTAATTAATTGATGTCTAATTGTTTTTGGTGCAGGTTACCTGCGGGATCTATGTGAAGTGCTGCTGTACCTGTTACTACCTCCTGGAGATTTCCACAACAAGAATATGAGATACTTCCTCAGGGTAAAACACACACACACACACATACGCATGCTAAATCAGTCCCAACTTCATTCCCATAACATCATATCTTTCAGCTAATGTCATGACCAGATAAAAAAGGGATGAAAACTGCAAAGCACATTTTGTGTGGAGAAAACCATTACAACTCAAAAACCATACATTTTGATGCAAACACTGATTTTAAAGACCTGTAACCTTCTTTTCTGCATTTCGTTGTAATGAGTGAGTAATTAAAACGGTTAAAAAGTTTTCATTATTTGAAAATAAAATATAAGATGAAAAACTTAAACCTAAAAACTGAAATTTAAATAAAAACAGAAAATATACCAAAAAATTATTCAAAATATTAATAAAAACAATAATAGTATCTCAATGTTCAAAATAACATTGCTCTTAAAACATTTTCACTGTGCAGTATTTTAATGCATTTATAATTATTATAAATATTATATAATTATTATAAATGCATTACACTGCAGTAATTTAATGCATTTATAGCTAAAATAAAATATAAGATGAAAAACTTAAACCTAAAAAAATGTTAAATGTTGCCTTAGCAACTAATTAAAATTTTAAAAAATTAAGTACTAAAATTGCTAACAGTAAAATAAAGCAAAATCTGTTGATAGAGCTTAAGTTGTATTTAATCCAGAACATTCCTTTAAGACACTAGATCTGGGATTTACAGAAAGCAGACAATTGGGTTCTGTTCTGAGATCTGGACTTCGGTTTATGTGGTCCTGACAGGTCTTGATGTTCAGACGACAGGATTCGAGCTTCAGTCTCGGTGTCTCACACATGAGCAAACCTGTTGATGTTGATTAAAGGGGTCATATGATGCGATTTCAATTTTTCCTTTCTTTTTGGATTGTTACAAGCTCTTGGTGCATAAAGAAGATCTGTAAAGTTGCAAAGACTAAAGTCTCAAATCCAAAGAGATATTCTTTATAAAGTTCAGAGTCAACCACACATACCTAAAACGGCTCGTTCTAACACGCCCCACATGTCTACATCACGATGTGGGAAGATTTGCATAACACCACCCAAATGTTCACGCAAAGAAAGAAAGCGTAACTTTTATTCTCGCTGTAGTATTGTTGACGCTGCAGCCATGTCGTGAAGACGCTGTGTGCTTCGTTGTGAAAGCGAAACTACTTTGTTTGGTCTTCCAAAAGAGGACGATATCCGCTTCGTCATGCCTAGAGCTGATCTGTGCTGGTCGCTGAGGGAATACATCAACTTTCACCGTGGACGAAGCGGAGTTCAGCCCGGGGTCGTCACATGTGGTTGATGCAAGCCCACTGGACGCTCCTTCGTCGAATCCGCCGCCTCTGCTCACTCTAGCCCTCCGGCGGTTCCTCACTTTATCCCCCGGCCTCTGCTCACTGTAGGCCGCCGTGTGTGACTACTTTGTTTGGCCTTCCAAAAGAGGACATGACTAGAAATCAGTGGTTAAGTTGTATTTACAACACTGTTCCATAACAGTTCAACCCAAATATTCAGATGTGTGCAGCGCATTTTATGGAGGACTGTTTACTGATCCTGGGAGAAAATGCCGGCAGTTTTGACTCACGTAAGTACGTTTTCATTTAAAGGATTTGCCACTGATGATTTAAACGCGAGTTTTAAGCAGATTAGCGCTTGTTTTTTGTCGTTTCTCTGATCACAAATTCAGACATGGTTTTATGTTTACGCGGCGCGATGCAACGCAACGCTTAAAAAGACAGTATAAGTCATTATAATCAGTAATTATGTCCCCACTGTATGCAACAAATGCCTCGTTTGTAATGGGTTTTAATGTTTTTGTCTCGTCGCTCCGGCCGGAGAGGGCATCATCACAGTATGGTGAGGGGGCGTAACATTTCCGTCTCACGCTTGAGGTATTCGGCCAATCATAATGCACTGGATAGCTGGCCAATCAGAGTACACCTCGCTTTTTCAGACCGATGAGCTTTGTAAAAATCGACGCGTTTCAGAAAGGCGGGGCATAGAGGAGAAACAATAATGTACAGTATGTGGAAAATAATGTGTTTTTTGAACCTTAAACCGCATAAACACATTTCATTACACCAAATACACAACATAATGTTCTTTTTAGAAACATCATATGACCCCTTTAACTGATTGATTCTCTGATGTCCTGCAGGAAGTTTTGGCCAGAGGAGTTCTGCTGCCCTTAATTAACCAGCTGAGTGACCCTGATTACATCAATCAGTTCGTCATCTGGATGGTGAGACCTGCCTCGGTTCTTACAGTCCAGAAGCGTGTCATGAATTACCTTTAAGAGGTTTTGCGTGTGTGTTTAGATTCGTGACTCAAGCTGTAACTACGAGGCCTTCTTGAACATCTTAAAGCTGACAGACAAAGTGGCCGAGCTGGAGGCCGTCAAAGACAAAGTCCTGGAGGAGCTTCAGTACCTCCGATCTCTGGACACGGGAGGAGACGGTACACACGCTCACTCATGCTTACTTACGCTAATGTGTTGGAAAATAAACAGTGAATTCTAGGGTTTGTTTTGGAAAATATGAGAGCAAGCTCAGGGCTTTATAATAACACAGTTTACTCTTCATTTTCTCTCTCTCTCCACACTCACAGATATCAACTTTATAAAGAATCAAATCAACAGTTTGCTCTTTGTGAAGAAAGTCTGTGAAACACGGATACAACGGCTACAATCAGGGAAGGTAAACAAATCTCTCCTGTTTCATTCACATTTGCTTTATTATAATTCATGAATATTCATTTAAAAACTTTCAGATTTTCTAGGGATGTATATTTTTTCATAGTCATTCGTCATTAATAATCAATTTATGTTTAACAATAGTGTAAATGAAACAATAAATAATTCCTCTTAATCATGGGTTATTATAGTTAACTGAAACTAGAATTAAAACCATTAAAACCTTTTCATTTCTTGAAATAAAACTGAACTGAAATAAAACAAAGCTAGTTGCCAAGGTAACGTTTCTCATTTTAATTTTGTTTAGCTTGATGTACTAAAACAACTAAAACTAAAACTGAAATATAAATTAATAAAAAGCTATATAAACATATTTTTAAAAACACAACAGAAACAAACACAACAAAATTACTAAAACTATAACTAAAATTAAACTGAAAATATAAAAACTGATTCAAAATATTAATAAAAACTATAATAGTATCTTAATACATTTTCAGTCTGCAGTTTAATGCATTTATGTTTAATAGGAGTTTGATTTGTTACATATAATTAAGACTATATAAAATATATAATTAGGAATGTATAACAAAACTATAATTAAATATGAATTAAAATTATATTAATTATCATTTAGTTATTACAGAACATTATACAGACAATTAAAATAATTAATTATTGTAATTAATAATAACTTTTTTGGAAAATACAGAAATAACTTTTCCGAAAACATTATAAAATGCACGATTAAAATTAAATTTTAATATTTGAAATTGTACTTTTTATAAACTAAATTATTAACAGCAATTAATTAACCAGTTGTTTAACAAATAATTAACATTTCACCTGACAAAATGACTTGACACATTTTGGTTGTTTTTTCCAAACAGGAAGTTGACGCTTTGAAACAACAATTAAAATTATATTAATCATATTATATAAAAATTATATTAATTATCATTTAATTATTACAGAACATTATACAGATAATTATACAGACAATTATTGTAATTAATAATAACTTTATTGGAAAATACAGAAATAACTTTTCCAAAAACATTATAAAATACACGATAAAAATTTTATTTTAATATTTGAAATTTTACTTTTTATAAACTAAATTATTAACTGCAATTAATTAACCAGTTGTTTAACAAATAATTAACATTTCACCTGACAAAATGACTTTTTTTGGTATGTGTATAGTACATTTTGGTTGTTTTTCCCAAACAGGAAGTTGACGCTTTGAAACTCGCTGCTAATTTTGGGAAGTTGTGTGTGATTCCGTTGGAACATATATTAGTGCACAACATCGCGCTGCAGTTCTTCATGGGTGAGTCGAGGCGGATGCACACAATCTGTCCTCTCTTTAGATATCATTCCTCGATACCTTTAATCTCTCTCTGTCTCTAGACTACATGCAGCCCATGGGCGGTCAGGCGATCCTGTTCTTCTGGCTGACGGTGGAGGGCTATCGGGTCACGGCCCAGCAGCAGCTGGAGGTCTTACAGAGCAGCCAGTGGGATGGGAAGAGGCAGAGCAGCCAGACCACCAAAGGCCTGCTGAGATCCGCCGCGCTTGGCGTCTATGACCAGTACCTGTCCGAGAAGGTGAGAAGACTGAGATTTACCAGTAAAAAATGAGTGTCCGTGAAGCGATGTTTGACAGGTTTATTTCCACTCAGGCCTCTCCTAGGGTGGAGGTGGACGAAGCGGCTGTAACCAGACTGGCTCAAAAACTCAATAAAGAGGATCCCACACCAGAAATATTTGATGAAATCCAGAAAAAGGTAATAACAGATTTTTTTTTTTTTGAGCATATATGCATGATTTGTATATTCTGACCTGCATGATAACTGATAATCACGATTATTTTGCTCAAAAATGATGTCAGTTTGCATGTTTTTTTTTGCTTGTCTAGTTTCCTGATGTATTATATTTATCATATATATATATATATATATATATATATACATACACACTCTTTATATGGAAACTGGTACAACAAGAAGCTTCTCTCAAAAGCCAAACCAGAAAAAATAATATTAACTCCAGCAGTTCCAAATTATGTTCATGTTTTATTTCTTTTAAAACAACAGTAAGTGCATGTATTCAGCCTCAGTTGCAAACAATATAGTCAGGATTCATGTTCATTTACTACAGTTCAGGTTTGCTTGCAGAGTTAGCTACAGCAAAAAGCACAAATGATAAAAACTGATTCAAAATATTAATAAAAACTATAATAGTATCTTAATACATTTTCAGTCTGCAGTTTAATGCATTTATGTTTAATAGGAGTTTGATTTGTTACATATAATTAAGACTATATAAAATATATAATTAGGAATGTATAACAAAACTATAATTAAATATGAATTAAAATTATATTAATTATCATTTAGTTATTACAGAACATTATACAGACAATTAAAATAATTAATTATTGTAATTAATAATAACTTTTTTGGAAAATACAGAAATAACTTTTCCGAAAACATTATAAAATGCACGATTAAAATTAAATTTTAATATTTGAAATTGTACTTTTTATAAACTAAATTATTAACAGCAATTAATTAACCAGTTGTTTAACAAATAATTAACATTTCACCTGACAAAATGACTTGACACATTTTGGTTGTTTTTTCCAAACAGGAAGTTGACGCTTTGAAACAACAATTAAAATTATATTAATCATATTATATAAAAATTATATTAATTATCATTTAATTATTACAGAACATTATACAGATAATTATACAGACAATTATTGTAATTAATAATAACTTTATTGGAAAATACAGAAATAACTTTTCCAAAAACATTATAAAATACACGATAAAAATTTTATTTTAATATTTGAAATTTTACTTTTTATAAACTAAATTATTAACTGCAATTAATTAACCAGTTGTTTAACAAATAATTAACATTTCACCTGACAAAATGACTTTTTTTGGTATATTTATAGTACATTTTGGTTGTTTTTCCCAAACAGGAAGTTGACGCTTTGAAACTCGCTGCTAATTTTGGGAAGTTGTGTGTGATTCCGTTGGAACATATAATAGTGCACAACATCGCGCTGCAGTTCTTCATGGGTGAGTCGAGACGGATGCACACAAACTGTCCTCTCATTAGTTACATCGGCAGCTTGTTCCTCAGTGCCTTATCTCTCTCTCTCTCTCTAGACTACATGCAGCACATGGGCGGTCAGGCGATCCTGTTCTTCTGGCTGACGGTGGAGGGCTATCGGGTCACGGCCCAGCAGCAGCTGGAGGTCTTACAGAGCAGCCAGTGGGATGGGAAGAGGCAGAGCAGCCAGACCACCAAAGGCCTGCTGAGATCCGCCGCGCTTGGCGTCTATGACCAGTACCTGTCCGAGAAGGTGAGAAGACTGAGATTTACCAGTAAAAAATGAGTGTCCGTGAAGCGATGTTTGACAGGTTTATTTCCACTCAGGCCTCTCCTAGGGTGGAGGTGGACGAAGCGGCTGTAACCAGACTGGCTCAAAAACTCAATAAAGAGGATCCCACACCAGAAATATTTGATGAAATCCAGAAAAAGGTAATAACAGATTTTTTTTTTTTTGAGCATATATGCATGATTTGTATATTCTGACCTGCATGATAACTGATAATCACGATTATTTTGCTCAAAAATGATGTCAGTTTGCATGTTTTTTTTTGCTTGTCTAGTTTCCTGATGTATTATATTTATCATATATATATATATATATATATATATATACATACACACTCTTTATATGGAAACTGGTACAACAAGAAGCTTCTCTCAAAAGCCAAACCAGAAAAAATAATATTAACTCCAGCAGTTCCAAATTATGTTCATGTTTTATTTCTTTTAAAACAACAGTAAGTGCATGTATTCAGCCTCAGTTGCAAACAATATAGTCAGGATTCATGTTCATTTACTACAGTTCAGGTTTGCTTGCAGAGTTAGCTACAGCAAAAAGCACAAATGACTGGCTTGCGCTTTCATTTGAATATTAAAATATCACAGTGGAGATCGCTGAACTCACATGTGTGCAGGAGCTTTCAGGTCATCAGTGCTTTTTTCTGGTACGTGGTTGCCAGGTTGGGAAGATTAAGTAAAACACTGGGCAGAAAATGTGTCCATTTAAGGTAAAAGCTCTAATTGGGGGAGTTAAACTCTTGAAATCTCCAGATGCATGAAACCTTATTGCAGATGATCATGCTTAATCGATATAGAGAGGAACATAAATCATGATCACAATTAAAAAACTATTTATTACTTTTTTGTGAAAAAAGGTCTAGATTAAAACAGATTTTTTTTAAACTAGTACAAGCTACATATATATTTTGAGATAAGATTAAATTTGGGGGAAAATGTGCTTATTTCAGTTGTCAAGAATTTATGCATTTGTTGTACTGCCTTTAAATTATGTAGATTTTATTTTTGTTTTTAAATAATAATTACTATAGTAAAAAAGGTAATTAAAATTGCAATTAATTGCATAATCTGCATCTGATGTATTCTTGACATACATATATATATATATATATATATGTGTGTATATTTAATGAGATTTGGTAGGAGATGTGCTGAAGTCACAATGTTGTATAATCATTTCACCCCAATAACTCATTTGAAAATGTTGAAAATATATTTTAGAAAAGTAAAATATATAAATATGTATTTTGATATTTATATCAAAAATATTTTTACTTTAATATATTTGTGTGTGTATATATATATATATATATATGTGTGTGTATATATATATATATATATTTTTAAAAACACAACAGAAACAAACACAACAAAATTACTAAAACTATAACTAAAATTAAACTGAAAATATAAAAACTGATTCAAAATATTAATAAAAACTATAATAGTATCTTAATACATTTTCAGTCTGCAGTTTAATGCATTTATGTTTAATAGGAGTTTGATTTGTTACATATAATTAAGACTATATAAAATATATAATTAGGAATGTATAACAAAACTATAATTAAATATGAATTAAAATTATATTAATTATCATTTAGTTATTACAGAACATTATACAGACAATTAAAATAATTAATTATTGTAATTAATAATAACTTTTTTGGAAAATACAGAAATAACTTTTCCGAAAACATTATAAAATGCACGATTAAAATTAAATTTTAATATTTGAAATTGTACTTTTTATAAACTAAATTATTAACAGCAATTAATTAACCAGTTGTTTAACAAATAATTAACATTTCACCTGACAAAATGACTTGACACATTTTGGTTGTTTTTTCCAAACAGGAAGTTGACGCTTTGAAACAACAATTAAAATTATATTAATCATATTATATAAAAATTATATTAATTATCATTTAATTATTACAGAACATTATACAGATAATTATACAGACAATTATTGTAATTAATAATAACTTTATTGGAAAATACAGAAATAACTTTTCCAAAAACATTATAAAATACACGATAAAAATTTTATTTTAATATTTGAAATTTTACTTTTTATAAACTAAATTATTAACTGCAATTAATTAACCAGTTGTTTAACAAATAATTAACATTTCACCTGACAAAATGACTTTTTTTGGTATGTGTATAGTACATTTTGGTTGTTTTTCCCAAACAGGAAGTTGACGCTTTGAAACTCGCTGCTAATTTTGGGAAGTTGTGTGTGATTCCGTTGGAACATATATTAGTGCACAACATCGCGCTGCAGTTCTTCATGGGTGAGTCGAGGCGGATGCACACAATCTGTCCTCTCTTTAGATATCATTCCTCGATACCTTTAATCTCTCTCTGTCTCTAGACTACATGCAGCCCATGGGCGGTCAGGCGATCCTGTTCTTCTGGCTGACGGTGGAGGGCTATCGGGTCACGGCCCAGCAGCAGCTGGAGGTCTTACAGAGCAGCCAGTGGGATGGGAAGAGGCAGAGCAGCCAGACCACCAAAGGCCTGCTGAGATCCGCCGCGCTTGGCGTCTATGACCAGTACCTGTCCGAGAAGGTGAGAAGACTGAGATTTACCAGTAAAAAATGAGTGTCCGTGAAGCGATGTTTGACAGGTTTATTTCCACTCAGGCCTCTCCTAGGGTGGAGGTGGACGAAGCGGCTGTAACCAGACTGGCTCAAAAACTCAATAAAGAGGATCCCACACCAGAAATATTTGATGAAATCCAGAAAAAGGTAATAACAGATTTTTTTTTTTTTGAGCATATATGCATGATTTGTATATTCTGACCTGCATGATAACTGATAATCACGATTATTTTGCTCAAAAATGATGTCAGTTTGCATGTTTTTTTTTGCTTGTCTAGTTTCCTGATGTATTATATTTATCATATATATATATATATATATATATATATACATACACACTCTTTATATGGAAACTGGTACAACAAGAAGCTTCTCTCAAAAGCCAAACCAGAAAAAATAATATTAACTCCAGCAGTTCCAAATTATGTTCATGTTTTATTTCTTTTAAAACAACAGTAAGTGCATGTATTCAGCCTCAGTTGCAAACAATATAGTCAGGATTCATGTTCATTTACTACAGTTCAGGTTTGCTTGCAGAGTTAGCTACAGCAAAAAGCACAAATGACTGGCTTGCGCTTTCATTTGAATATTAAAATATCACAGTGGAGATCGCTGAACTCACATGTGTGCAGGAGCTTTCAGGTCATCAGTGCTTTTTTCTGGTACGTGGTTGCCAGGTTGGGAAGATTAAGTAAAACACTGGGCAGAAAATGTGTCCATTTAAGGTAAAAGCTCTAATTGGGGGAGTTAAACTCTTGAAATCTCCAGATGCATGAAACCTTATTGCAGATGATCATGCTTAATCGATATAGAGAGGAACATAAATCATGATCACAATTAAAAAACTATTTATTACTTTTTTGTGAAAAAGGTCTAGATTAAAACAGATTTTTTTTAAACTAGTACAAGCTACATATATATTTTGAGATAAGATTAAATTTGGGGGAAAATGTGCTTATTTCAGTTGTCAAGAATTTATGCATTTGTTGTACTGCCTTTAAATTATGTAGATTTTATTTTTGTTTTTAAATAATAATTACTATAGTAAAAAAGGTAATTAAAATTGCAATTAATTGCATAATCTGCATCTGATGTATTCTTGACATACATATATATATATATATATATATGTGTGTATATTTAATGAGATTTGGTAGGAGATGTGCTGAAGTCACAATGTTGTATAATCATTTCACCCCAATAACTCATTTGAAAATGTTGAAAATATATTTTAGAAAAGTAAAATATATAAATATGTATTTTGATATTTATATCAAAAATATTTTTACTTTAATATATTTGTGTGTGTATATATATATATATATATATGTGTGTGTATATATATATATATATAAGAGAGGAACATAAATCATGATCACAATTAAAAAACTATTTATTACTTTTTTGTGAAAAAAGGTCTAGATTAAAACAGATTTTTTTTAAACTAGTACAAGCTACATATATATTTTGAGATAAGATTAAATTTGGGGGAAAATGTGCTTATTTCAGTTGTCAAGAATTTATGCATTTGTTGTACTGCCTTTAAATTATGTAGATTTTATTTTTGTTTTTAAATAATAATTACTATAGTAAAAAAGGTAATTAAAATTGCAATTAATTGCATAATCTGCATCTGATGTATTCTTGACATACATATATATATATATATATATATGTGTGTATATTTAATGAGATTTGGTAGGAGATGTGCTGAAGTCACAATGTTGTATAATCATTTCACCCCAATAACTCATTTGAAAATGTTGAAAATATATTTTAGAAAAGTAAAATATATAAATATGTATTTTGATATTTATATCAAAAATATTTTTACTTTAATATATTTGTGTGTGTATATATATATATTTTTTGTTTTTGTTTTTGTTTTTTTGTTTTTTTTCCGTGAATTTTTATGAGAATTTAAAATTGAGATTTTCAATGATTTATCATGCGGCCTTATTATGACTAATAAAAGCAATAAAAATCCCAGTACATGAGCTGTCTGTGTTCCTCAGGTGTATGACATGATGTTGCGGGATGAGAGGTTTTACCCGTCGTTTAAGCAGCACCCGCTGTATGTGCGGATGCTGGCCGAGCTGGACATGCTGAAAGAGCCCAGTTACAGGGGTTCAGACGACGGGGACGGAGGTGATAAACTCACACGCTACCTGATCTGTCATCAGTCAGTCTCTTTACACACCACCTCCTAAAATTCATTAATACTTCTCTGTTTCTCCAGAGTCGTTCAACGGGTCTCCAACAGGAAGCATTAATTTAGTATGTCAAATAAAGCCGTTCATATGTAATACTTACATACATCATGCGTGTTTGAGTGTGTTAGCTTGTTTCTAATGCTTGTGTTTTGTAGTCATTAGATGATCTCAGCAGCGGGAGCGTGGATGAGTCTGTTCAGCTTCATGCCTTTATCTCTGATACGGGTGAGAGTTTGACCTGCTATTAACCATTTTAATGGTGTAATAATACCGTACTGTTTCAAAAGTTCAGCACTGTGTCCTAAAGAGGCACTGAGTGATTTCTGTCCTCAATGAAAGTGACCATCAAAATGTCTTGTTGCTTATCAAAAACTTTTTTTTTAACAATCTGCAGAGGTGAATCTAGCAAATTATGTCTGGGTCATATTTTACCCTTATAGCAAAAGAAAACAATAATATTATAAAACGGATAGTTCCGGTCCTTGATTCTGATTGGTTGAGCTGCGTTCGAAGCTGTTATAAATTTAAGACACTATGCTTTGTGTCGTGTCTAACAACGTCCCTTAGCTGTTATAAATTCACTGTAAACCACGGCTTCACGGAGCTTATTGCTTTTATAAAACGGTTATTCCATATACGTAGTCGTTCCCTATTGCCTACATTGGACACTACATGCCATTCACTGTACAGGAAATACTACACTGAACAAGCGACTGATTTCAGCCGCAGCTTCAGCGTCTATTTATAGTGCAGGGGGCGGGCACTTCGAATTCTAGAGAGCATTTGATTGGTCAGAAGATTTGATGAGAAGATGAAGTACGATGTGACGTCAAAAAAAATAATTGAGCCGTTTTGGTGGAAGTGACGAGCTGCAAGCTTTGAATGCTCATATCTTCTAAATGCGAATTTTGTCACTGTTTTGGAGCGCACTGCCTTATAGATAACCTTAAGACTAACATATTGATACTAACACCCAAAAAACTTTAATTTTGATTTCATGGGGACTTTAAAGGGATTTATTATCATTTATTGACTTCCATAGTATGGAACAAAATTCTATGAAAGTCAGTGGCTACCTGCACGTTTTTGGTTTCACACATTCTTCAAAATATCTTCTTTTGTGTTCAGCAAAAGAAAGAAATTAAAGAAATAAGTAAATGTTTTTGTAAATGTTTGGGTGAACTGTCCGTTTAAAGGTCCTAAAATAAGCATAATTTTTGATTTTGAGGTGAAATATGACCTCAACCTGTTTTCACCCGCAGATGTTTTTCGAGTTGGTCTCTAAAAAGGCCCTGATTTCTATTGAATTCAGTTCGATTCTTTTAAATGTTGAGCTGTTGAATTGGATGTTAGTAATGACTCGTGTAGATGGTAATAATCTGTGATTTCAGAGATGTTCAGTGTGTGTGCTGGTGATCTTTCCTCTCTTCTCTAGTCATCACTTCTTATTTTCAAGCTTCATTTATTTGAAGGAGCAACACTTTTCCTGCCACTGTGTGTTGATTCTTATTCTGTGACACTGTCATTCCATCAGCTTTATTTTCTTACGTTCATCTTTTTTTCCTCTCTCCCTCTGTCGCTTTGTCTTGTCGTCCTCTCGCTGCTGTGTGTCTTTCTTGTTTTCTTTTTCCCCTGCACCATCGTTTCCATCGCCCCTGCCTCTCTCTCCCGGTGCTCTGTAGCTGATGCTTTTCTAAACCAACTTCCTGTGGCAGGCGCGGGGAACGATCATGGGAAGACGTACGCCCTCTATACCATCACCGTCGTACGCAAGACCTCCGACGGCAGCGAGGACATCTGGAAGACGTGTGTCTTTCTTGTTCTCTTTTTCCCCTGCACCATCGTTTCCATCGCCCCTGCCTCTCTCTCCCGGTGCTCTGTAGCTGATGCTTTTCTAAACCAACTTCCTGTGGCAGGCGCGTGTAACGATCATGGGAAGACGTACGCCCTCTATACCATCACCGTCGTACGCAAGACCTCCGACGGCAGCGAGGACATCTGGAAGACGTACCGCCGCTACAGCGATTTCCACGACTTCCACATGCGCATCACAGAACAGGTGAAACAGATGTACCCTTTAATGAGCGTCACACGTCACCTATCAGAGTAGTTTGTTGTACTGCCTTTAAGTTATGCAGATTTTATATTATATTACTAGATAATAGGGAAAAAAATAATAATCTGCAAAACTTAAAGGCAGTACAACTTAAATCAACATGGTAGAAATGTGGTTAATCGCTTGAGTCTATTGCATTTTTGTTTTATTGGCCTGTCTTTGTGTCTTTATTATGATGCATCGTTGTTTAACGCATTTTACCATGTTTAAAACACAAAAATGTGAAAAATGACTGGATTGAAATTAAATATTTATGAAACCAATACAAGCCACATCCATATATATATATATATATATACAGTGGGTAAGGAAAGTATTCAGACCCCCTTAAATTTTTCACTCTTTGTTATATTACAGCCATTTTCTAAAATCATTTAAGTTAATTTTTTTTTCTCATTAATGTACACACAGCACCCCATATTGACAGAAAAACACAGAATTGTTGACATTTTTGCAGATTTATTAAAAAAGAAAAACTGAAATATCACATGGTCCTAAGTATTCAGACCCTTTGCTCAGTATTTAGTAGAAGCACCCTTTTGATCTAATACAGCCATGAGTCTTTTTGGGAAAGATCCAACAAGTTTTTCACAAATATAATTGAAATCTGCAAAACTTAAAAGCAGTACAACAATCTACCCTGATATATAAATTCTTGACAATTTGTTTGTAATTTTATTCTTAAATTTACATCACAATTATGAATAGTCATAATTTCAACCCAACTCTCATAAAAAAAATGTAAGTAAAATTTTAAGTAAAACATCTAAATAAATATGTATATAGCAAAATATTTAAATTATATATTTTTTTAAATATAATAAAATATAGATAATTTTTATATTTATAAAAAAAAATTTTAATATAATTTTTTACTTAAAATATATGTGTGTGTGTGTGTATATATATATATATATATATATATAAAATGGTGATGAGAAGTTTTGAGTATTTTAATTTTTAATTATTATTATAATAAAATTATTATTTGTATTATTATTATTATTATTATCATGGGTGTTCTTGCTGTAAAGGCATTTACAGCTATTTGAATTTAAACATATCCCAAAATATATATAGATGTGGCATGTATTGGTTTTATAAAAATGTAATTTTAATCCAGACCTTTATCTGTGCTGATTGTAATTAAGAATTTTAAACCTGGTAAAATGTGTTAAACAGCGATGTGGGCTGCACCCATGTTGGTAGCTGAAATCATCATTAATTAGTCACAATAGTTAACATTTTTCTTAAGCAAACATTAAAAGAGACATGTTGGAATCTGTGAATGACTGGAGTTTAAATTCTGTAGAGTTTTGTGAACACGGAGTCCACGTTAGTCTGGATTTTTGTGTTGAACACAGTCTGATCTAATGGGGTTTGATAGATGTGACGTTTACTAACCCATGTGTCCCGTGTCTTTAGTTTGAAAGCCTTGGTCCGATTCTCAAGCTTCCTGGCAAAAAGACCTTTAACAACATGGACAGGGAGTTTTTGGAGAAGAGGAAGAAGGACCTGAATGCTTATTTACAGGTGGGTCAGACGAGGACGGGTGTTTATTTTGGGTTCTGCTGGCTCAGGTGTGCTGAGAGCTGAATGTGTCTTACAGGTGCTGCTGAATCCTGAGATGGTGAAGGCCTGTCCCATGCTGATCCCCTACGTCTATGACTTCCTGGAGAACAAAGCCTACAGCAAGGGCAAAGGAGACTTCGCACGCAAGGTGAGAAACGCCTCATACAGATAAGTTTCAAACGATCAGTGTTTGATGTCCAGCAGGGTGGGAGATTTAGCTTATAAAGTTATATCTTGATTTAAAAAATGATCTAGGCATTCACACCAGATTTGCACTAAATAACTTTATGCATTTTTATTTATATGCTCCAACATAAGAAAAAAAATCAATACACTACTGTTCAAAAGTGAGATTAATTTTTAATGTTTTTAAAAGAAGGCTCTTCTGCTCACCAAGGCTGCATTTTATTTTTATTATTATTTCTTTTTGGCTTTATTTTGATAGGACAGTGTTTAGACAGGAAGCGAAGTGGGAGAGAGAGAGGGGGGTGAGCAGTTGTGCTGCCGAATATTTTTGTGGAAACCGTGATACATTTTATTTTTCAGGATACTTTGATGAATAGAAAGTTCAAAAGAACATTTATTTGAAATAGAAATATTTTATAACATTATAAATATTTTTACTGTCACTTTTTATCAATTTAATGCTTCCTTGATGAATAAAAGTATTAATTTATTTTTAAAAAAAAAATTTATATTGACCCCAAACTTTTGAAACCATAGTGTATATTTTTGCAAAAAAAATGTTTTAATGCTATGAAATGAAACATGCAGACTTGAGTACACATATTTTCAGTGATAATGCAAACTAATCATTAAACCGATGCACTGAATCAAAAAACACTAATAAAATGATATGATTAACCCATAGATGCAATCTTAATATTCTCATCATTCTTTTGATAGACGTATGGATAGATAGAGAGAGCGACAGACTGAAGGGGCGTTCACACAAACAGCGATTTGCAGCGGCGAAGTTAGCGAAAGTCATTCATTTTCAATGAGAGTTGGTGAATCGGGACAACCTGAGGAATAGTAGAAAGCTGAGCTGGTTTAATGTTAATTAGCAGCGGTAAAGACACAATCTGAATGCTGCAGTTCAGTAGGAACAGTGATGAAATCGCTCGCACCTCCATGCATTACTCCAGAGGGGAGCGGCCTAGAGTTGTTGTCTGCTTGGATTCGCCGTTTTTTGTAAACTTGTCCTGTTCTCTGGACTCGGACAGATGGACACGTTTGTGAATCCTCTCCGGAGCTCCATGCGGAACGTGTCCAATGCCGTGAAGTCACTGCCGGACAGCCTGGCCGAGGGAGTGTCCAAAGTCTCGGCGGACATGGGCCGCATGTCCGAGAAACTTGGCCAGGATATTAAACAGTCCATATTTAAGGTAGAGCACGTCTGGAGAATCTCAGAGCACAGCGGGAAATGCGCAAAAGACCAGAGACCTCACGAACTGGACACTTTTCATGATGGTTGCTTGTGTTGCCTGTTTTTGTGTAACTGGGAAACTTTGTCTGTGCCGTTTCTCAATCATTTCATATGCATAGCTGAGCAGGCATGTAGGAAGTGTTTGCGCTCGACTGGCGTGATTTTATGAGGGTTTGTCACTAACTCCAGATGTGTCTGATCCACAGGTGCCTCCTTTAATTGCAAAGTCTGACATCGATCCCGAACACTGCCGCGTCTCGGCCCAGCTGGACGACAATGTGAGTCAACATCAAATCAAAAACTTGGCCAAATCACTCTAACACTCTAAATATGTGTAAGGCACCGATAAATAATGACATTTATTTTAATAATTGTAATAAGCAAATCTAGTACAAGCTGTGTGGTACAAGACATCCATAAATATTGGTGTTATATTTTTTTTCCCACAAATTATTATTATTTAGTAATGTATTAATATAGTAATATATTTCTTTATTGTTTTTATTTACTTACAACAACTTAATAATAATAATAATTATTATTAAATACTCTATTTTACAGTACAGTAGTATTATTACCATAATATTGTATGTCTTTATTTATTTTTATTTTTTATAATTGAATAAAATAATAATAATTTTATTATTAAATAGTATTTAGATTTTACAGTATATTAATGTAGTAATGCATTTCTTTGTTGCTTTTTATTTTTAATAGTAATGTTGTATATTAATATAGTAGTAATTTTTGTTTTTTTATTTGTCTAACTTAATAAAAAATATATTTATTATTATTATTAAGTACTCTATTTTACAGTATAATATTATTATTACCATAATATTGTGTTTCTTCATTGATTTTTAATTTTTATAATTTAATAAAATAATCATGTTTATTATTATTATTAAATACACATTTTTTATTTTACAGTACAATAGTATTTTTACCAAAGCAATTTATTTCGTTATTGATTGATTTTTATAATTTAATACGTTTACACTATTTATTTAATATTTATTATAATAGCAACATTACCATTAGGGATGAGAGAGAGAGAGAGAGTCTGAGAGCGCGCACTTCTGTTGCATGATCTTCATTGCATCCATCGCATTCACTATAAACAGCATTTATTTTAAACGTCAAGCATACACAACTTTATTTAGAGCAGAAGTGAAACTAGCAGACTGGGTGAAATGCGCTAGGATATAAGTGTCTCTCTCACTCTGCACCAATACAAACGTGTGCGCGCTGCGTATGTTTAGCTTGCTTTAAGGCCAAAGTATACTTCGGTTTTTACTCGTACGTGAGGGTCCGTGTACACTGCGCGTGACGCAAATTAAATCACCAAAATAGTACGCTAAATGAAGCCAAATAACATGATTCATATTATTATTATTATTATTACTATTATTTTGTTTCTGTACCCAATATTTAAAAAAAAATTACAAATGCTGTGAAAATACAGGTATCGGTATCGGTGAGTACCAAAAATGAAAGTATCGGTATCGGACTCGTTCTGAAAAAAGTGTTATCGGTGCATCCCTAATTACCATAGTAATTTATTTTTAGTTGATTTTTTATTTTATAATTTAATAAAATAATATTTATTATTATTATTATTTTCATCATTGTTATTATCATTATTATTAAATACAGATTTTTTTTATTTTACAGTACAATAGTATTTTACCATAGTAATGTATTTCTTTATTGATTTTTATTTTGTATAATTGGATAAAATAATAATAATATTTGTTTAATAACAAATAATTTATTTAAAATAATGTATCTAATTAGTTTGCATCCCTGATCAATTTTTCCATGGCTTAGAACGAGATTTGAATGAGATTGTAGAGTTGAAGCTGTCAGTTTAATGAATGTTGTTTTGATGTACAGGTGGATGATAATATTCCACTGAGGGTGATGTTGCTGTTGATGGACGAGGTGTTTGATCTGAAGGAGAGAAATCAGTGGCTGCGCAGAAACATCAAAAACCTCCTACAGCAGCTCATCAAAGCCACGTCTGGAGACACCATTAACAGGTGCGACAGACACACGCACATTATGACTCGCATAAGGTTGCATTTCTGCTGTCTGTTCAACGGTGAACATTTGTTTTCGCTTCACTGCAGGAAAATCGTAGATCATGTCGACTACATGACCTCGCCTGAGCAAGTGTCTGATTACGTGAAGAGATTCAGGTGATGATTTCACTCGCTGTCTGTTTTGACATGTATGTGGTTCTGCTGCTGCTTCTGACTGGATTTTTGACCCCGCAGAGACTCCTACTGGCCAAACGGGATTCTGGCCGAGACGCCGCCCCGCAGAGACAAAAGCTTACGCATGAGGACACGAGTCGCCGCCAAGACCACACTCCTGGGCATCATGCCAGGTACACACACACACACACACACACACACACACATTACAGCCTGGATCTTATGACACTGAACATGCAAACATTTATGTGCACTCACAGCATAGACTATAGTGGAAAATCTGCAGTTATTCTGTATTATCATATAATCCAAAATGTTTAATAAACGAATATGCAAGGGGTGGGGGATATTTTGAACTGTGAATAATGTCCATTCTAATTCTGTTCATATATACTGAGCTTTCTGCAAAATTCTACCCTAGTATTCAAAAGCTTGGGGTCGATAACATTTTTAAATGTTTTTGAAAAATCTCTTCTGCTCACCAAGGCTGCATTTATTTGATCAAAAATACAGTAAAAACAATAATATTGTGAAATATTATTACCATTTAGAATAGCTGTTTTCTGTGTGAATATATTGTAAAATGTAATTTATTTCTGTGATCAAAGCTGAATTTCCAGCATCATTACTCCAGTCTTCAGTGTCACATGATCCTTCAGAAATCATTCTAATATGCTGATTTGCTGCTCAAGAAACATTTCTGTTTATTATCAATGTTGAAAACATGATCCATTATATTTTTCAGGATTCTTTGATGAATAGAAAGTTCAAAAGAACAGTGTTTATTTGAAATAGAAATCTTTTGTAACCTTAGAAATGTCTTTGCTGTCATTTTTGATCAGTTTGATGCATCCTTGCTGAATAAAAGTATTATTTATTAAAAAAAAAAAAACGATGCAAAGACCCCATACTTTTGAATGGTAGTATAATATATGTATGTTTATATAATAATATATACATATATAGTACCAGGGTTTATTATGGTTAAATAAAACTAAAATCATAAAATAATTTTTGTTACTTGAAATAAACATTAAAAGAAATAAAATAAGATATTTAAATGTAAATATTTTAAATGTATTGCATTTATTTATTTCATTTCAGCTAGTGATTTTCACTTAGTTTAACTTGATGTATTAAGATAACTATATAGACATAAAAAACAAAGCCTAATAAAAATTCAAATGAAAACAGAAAATATTAATTAAAAACTAATTCGACCATTAATAAAAACTATAATAGTATCTCAGAGATACCAAGATAACACTGTATCGTACGTCCAATTGTATTTGTATACATACAGTGCCTCAGGTAGAGTGATATATATACTGTACAGCAAATCTCCACTGCTTGATTGCTTGTATCGTCCCAAAACTATACAAGCAATATAATAACAAATAATATAACTATATTATTGTCCAGCTCTAATCTGCTAAATGCGACTATAAGGCATAGAGATATTAAGATATTATAAGCATTAACATTATGATTTTGTGTAAAGCTGCTTTGAATCTATACAAATAAATTTGACTCGACTTGAAATGTTCTCCTCCCATCAGATGAGTTGAAGCACATTATCGGGGCAGAAACCACACGCAAGGGCATCCTGCGCGTCTTTGACATGTTCCAGCACCAACCGCTGAACCGCCGGCTGGCCTGCGTCTTTCTGGAGGGCTTCCTGGAGACCTTGTTCCCTCAGTACAAGTTCCCCGAGCTGTTCGTGAAGCTCTACTCGCGCTCGCCGCGCGTGCTCAGATATTCACAGAAATTGCGCAGCTTGCACAAGAGGTGACAGACGGACACTTCTCCCGCCGACGCAGAGGGGGGAGGGGAGGAACCAGCGGCAAACGCTCAAACACACACCTCCCTCTTAGTGCCTCGTGGCTGTTCTCGTTTCAAGCACTGTATTGACACGGCCGTAGCATAGAGGAGTCATTTTATCATCATGAAGCCTTCGGCACCTCGCTCACATCTGAACCACTATGAAAGACTGCAGCGCCCGAGCACTGAGCGATCACTCTTTCCGTTTGCCGTGCATTTCTGATCTGATGTTTTGAATGACACTTGTGTAGATATATACGATTTGTTTGGTTTATTTGGGGTTTTTGCATTTGGCATTGGTCGCCTCATCGTCAGTACTGTATGGTGAAGGAAATCCGACCGAAGCAACCTATGCACCTTAACACTCATTACAAGCAGAACCATATGAGGAGGGTCGGCAGCGATGTATTATGATCATTTTGTGGCACTGAAACTGAAATAGGCGTAACGTTATCCTTCTCAGCCTTTTGCTTACATGTAATACTTGAGCTAATCTAAAATGACTTAAAGGAATAGTTAAGGCAAAAATGAAAATTTGTTGACAATTTACTCACCCTCAGGCTATCCATGATGTAGATGAGTTCGTTTCTTCATCAGATTTGGAGAAATGTAGCATTGCATCAGTGTCTCAGCAATGGATGCTCTGCAGTGAATGGGTGCCGTCAGAATGAGAGTCCAAACAGCTGATAAAAACATCACAATAATCCACAAGTAATCCACACCACTCCAGTCCACCAGTTAAAGCCAAAAGCTGCGTGTTTGAAACAAACATATACATCATTAAGACTTTTTTAACTTCAAACCATTGCTTCCGGCTAAAATACAAGTCCATAATCTATAATAACTCTTCCTCCATTGAAAAGGTCCATCTCCTGTTGTTTCTCACATCAAAATCCATCCATATATGTGTTTAGAGCTCATGATTTGTTTTGGATTGTTTTTGTTAAATGGTGCTTGATCTGTGCAGATTTCTCTCCTGATTCAGACAAGATGATTTTCACTTTATGAAGCGTTATTATGGATTATGGACTCATATTTTAGCCGGAAACAATGGTTTGAAGTTAAAAACACCTTAATGATGGATTTGTTTCTTACAAACACACAGCTTTTGTCTTCTGAAATCATTAACTGATGGACTGGAGTGCTGTGGATTATTGTTTTTATCAGCTGTTTGGACTCTCATTCTGACGGCACCCATTCACTGCAGAGCATCCATTGCTGAGCAAGTGATGCATTGCTACATTTCACCAAATCTGTGACGATACAAACTCATGGATGGCTCGAGGGTGAGTGCATTTTCAGCAAATTTTAATTTTTAGCTGAACTTTTTCTTTAATAATTATCTAAAGCCCTCAAAACATATCAAAGCGGACAGAGATGGTGGAATTCAAGCGTATATTTGCATGACCGTTTGAAACAGCTACATGGAGCTCATCGCATACAGAGATCTGCTTTAACGAATGTACATGTCGATGTTTGTGTGCGTCCTGTTTTTATAACTCAATCCAGTGGAGGGTCTGATGTGGGTTTTTTTAAACGTACTTTATTTTAGAATATCAAGTGTAGCACTAAACTGCGACTGTCTGATGCTGAAGACTGTTTCAGTGTGAGGTATAGATTCAGCCTTAAATACACGACCAAGAGACGCGTGTTTAGAAGTAGCTTTCACACGGATGCGCCCTCATACACACACACACACGTAAAGGAGATATCGACTGTCCGAATCAGGTTTTCAATCAGAGAATATGTCATTCGTTTTTGTGCAATATGTTTCTTTCATGCATGTTATATAATAATCATATATGGGATAGTTTTCAAGTATATTCGAGTGAAGCCAATCCAAAACCACAGGAAACTCTTCAAAACCACCGAAACATTCCGTTGTTGTAAATGGCTTATTTTAAAGGACTTGTTTTATAAGTCTGGCTTTTATGCTCGTGTTGAACTTGGGGATGTGTTTGTTTTTAATGTTGCGTCGCTCCTGCTGTTTTCTTGATGGATTTTGGTGCGTTTTGCTTTTAGGAAACGAGTGAAAGCACATTGTAGGTGAACGGATGATCAAAACATGCAAAGACAAGAAAGACGCTGCCGAGGTCAGCACATAGATCTTAAACACTCTTTCTTACTGTTAAACACTCTCCAGTCATGTTTGATAGATCTACACTTTACGAGAACATGCATGGGTCATATTTCACCCCAAATTCTTTTTTTTTTCATTGTGACATGCTTTTTTATGATGATTAAGCACATTTTTGTATCATGTGAAAAATCTCATAAATATATATTACAATTTAAATTATTCTATAATAAATTATAACACAAAAAATCATTAAAAACCTAATTATAATTATAAAAAATGTATTTGTTTAATATTTTACATAATGATATTATCATTATTAATGTGTTTTATGTATATTATACATAAAAATAATGTTATTTAAATTATTAACAATACTTAAATACAAATAAATAATTTTTATATTATGTAATAATTAGGTTCTTTGATTTAAAGAATGAGAATTGGGAAGAAATATCATGGTTATAACTTTTCATTTCATTGTCTATGCAAACATAATTGATTTATTTTGATTTTGGAGTGAAATATGACCTATAAATGTTCTCTCCTCTCAGGTTTCACAAGATTCAGCCTTGGGACCTGGTTCAGATCAGCAGAAATTGATGCGAATAGATGAGAACTAATTTAGTGTTTTAATGGAAGTAAAAATAGCACTTGAACTCTTAATTGAAGGGTTTTGAAGATTGTTTTGAGTTGCTCTTGTTTGTGGCTGTTTGCTGTGATTGACCAGCAGTTTTACTCGTGTGATTTGCCTGAACGTGGTCTTTCTCTACTGTGATTGGCTGGCACTGAGAAGCTAAAATCTGCTGTGATTGGTCGAGTCACACAGGAGCAACTTCCCCTTTAAATCCACCAAATGGTCGACACAGATGTTTCTGATTTGATTTTGTTTTCAGAATCCCCGTACGTATGAATCTATGAACATGAACTGTGCATATTGGTGTATAGTATGTGTCAGCGGTGTGCCTAAATGTACTGTCAATTATATTTTCTTATTTTTCTTTAACAAAGTCAATTTGAATGTCACAGTCGTTTTAATAGACTGAAAAGGACTCTAAAGGAGTAGAGTGTTTGCATTATGCTTCTAAAACATTGATTTTGAGCAGCTTTACTCAGTATAACACTAATAAAATTAACTCCAACTCACTGCCCATTTCAGCATTTACGGTGTCTGTCTGAATGATTGATTGATTGATTGAATGAATGAATACTGTCTGACAGATTCAAATAAAGCCTGTTTGATCAGGAATTAAGAATGGAAATTTAAATAAATGCAACATTCTTAGCTGTTACTGTACTTATAAAATCAAATCAACATCAAATTAAAATGCACAAGATTGGGAAAAAAAGGAAAAAAACTATAGGAATAAATGTGAATTTTGTGTGTAAATTATTTTTTTTTTCTCCCCGATTAAGCTAACATAAAGCAGAATTATTTTTCTCGCTTATTTTGAAACAGAAAGCAGGACTGTTTGACCAGTTCATTTTTTTTTTTAACTTTCAATCAAAGGCTGTTGAGTTAATGTCACTGAAATACTGAATTTAAAAGCATATGTCTATCCATCCATCCATCCATCCATCCGTCTGTCTATCTGACAAATATCTTCCAAAATAAATGGCTTATTAATCATGTTCCATCACAGCCACAAAAACTTCTAAGATGTTATTTCTCTGATAAACACTGGGGAGCGCCATACACTTTATACTGTTGTGTCTTAAAGGGGTCATATGATGCTTTTTTAAAGATCATTATTTGGTGTAACAGAATATGTTGACATGCTTTAATGTTCAAAAAACACATTATTTTTCAAATACTGTACATTATTGTAGGTCCTCTATGCCCCGCCTCTCTCAAACGCTTCGTTTTCTACAAAGTCCTTCCTTCCGACAAGCGCAGTCTGCTCTGATTGGCCAGCTGACCCAGTACATTGTGATTGGCCGAACACCACAAGCACGAGTCGGAAATGTAACGCCCCTTACCATAATCACCAGCTTCATCTTTCAAAATAAATGTAAAAACAAAATCTGCATTCATAAAAAATTACCATGGCATAAAATACATCAGAAATATATCTTCTGATAGTTCATCTTTTGCCATTAGATAGTATAACATTGTATGTATATATATATATATATATATATATATAAGATAACTCTTATTTTGTTCCTGATGTCAATGTGACTGATCACCTGGATTCATTAAACCAAAACATGAAGCAAGAAGGCAGAATGGATAAATCGGGTACGTTTTCAACTGTACTAAAGAAAACACAAGAAATATGAGCTGACGTTCAATCACAAGATTTATCAGAAGAGGGTCAATTAATTGTTTTTTATACACCCATTTGAAAACAAATGGTGGAAGCCTAAACGTTGAAACAAGATATTCAGCATTGAGTGCGGTTACATCATCAAACAAAATGATAAAATATCTGCATTATAAAAACCTGACAAGACTCGCGCTTACCAGAGAGTGAGACTTTGAAATCCGCGGGTGTTTATCTAGTTTTGACATCAAAGCGTGAACAGACATGCGCACATTGAACATCAAAGCTTGAACAGACATGTGCACATTGAACATCAAAGCATGAACAGACACGCGCACATTGAACATCAAAGCATGAACAGACACGCGCACATTGAACATCAAAGCATGAACAGACACGCGCACATTGAACATCAAAGCATGAACAGACACGCGCACATTGAACATCAAAGCATGAACAGACACGCGCACATTGAACATCAAAGCATGAACAGACACGCGCACATTGAACATCAAAGCATGAACAGACACGCGCACATTGAACATCAAAGCATGAACAGACACGCGCACATTGAACATCAAAGCATGAACAGACACGCGCACATTGAACATCAAAGCATGAACAGACACGCGCACATTGAACATCAAAGCATGAACAGACACGCGCACATTGAACATCAAAGCATGAACAGACACGCGCACATTGAACATCAAAACGTGAACAGACATGCGCACATTGAACATCAAAGCATTAACAGACGCACACATTGAACATCAAAGCTTTAACAGACACGCGCACATTGAACATCAAAGCATTAACAGACACGCGCACATTGAACATCAAAGCATTAACAGACACGCGCACATTGAACATCAAAGCATTAACAGACACGCGCACATTGAACATCAAAGCATTAACAGACACGCGCACATTGAACATCAAAGCATTAACAGACACGCGCACATTGAACATCAAAGCATTAACAGACACGCGCACATTGAACATCAAAGCATTAACAGACACGCGCACATTGAACATCAAAGCATTAACAGACACGCGCACATTGAACATCAAAGCATTAACAGACACGCGCACATTGAACATCAAAGCATTAACAGACACGCGCACATTGAACATCAAAGCATTAACAGACACGCGCACATTGAACATCAAAGCATTAACAGACACGCGCACATTGAACATCAAAGCATTAACAGACACGCGCACATTGAACATCAAAGCATTAACAGACACGCGCACATTGAACATCAAAGCATTAACAGACACGCGCACATTGAACATCAAAGCATTAACAGACACGCGCACATTGAACATCAAAGCATTAACAGACACGCGCACATTGAACATCAAAGCATTAACAGACACGCGCACATTGAACATCAAAGCATTAACAGACACGCGCACATTGAACATCAAAGCGTGAACAGACACGCGCACATTGAACATCAAAGCGTGAATATGTCCACAACTCCGTCATCCGTGCGATCTGGTTTATGACGCACTTAAAGAACACGTGCTGTTTACATCATTTAAACGTTGCCGGGTTTTAAGTATAATTTCAGTCCACTGAATCTCTTCTCTTATTGCTTCAAAGCATAAAAGTGACGTCTATCATATTTTCTTTTTCTTTTTGTTTATCTTCTAATAACAAAACCCCTCCTCATGATCAGCTTTCACACTGGGAGCAATTGTGGTTGACATATTTAAGTTAACCTGCTTGAACTATATTTCAATACGAAGATTTTTGCTTAAAATGTAAATGCGTTTAAATGAGTCTATTTATGTATTTGGTTGTCACTTTTGAATCATGCTATAGTCAATTTTAATTGATCCTCAATTAATAAAAAAATGTACAAACTTTCAGTGTTGTTTACCGATTAATATGAGGTCATAAAAACCACATGTAATATTTGCAGAGTAGTTGGAAGAGTTTAGTTTAATATTGTTATAATCGGATTATGTATAGACTTCTGTCAACTCCCATGCTTTATATATGAATCCTTTTTTCTCACTTATGTACTGTATAATTGTGCACACACATGCAATAAGTCAGTGAGACGAGTCCCATGTGCCAATATTTGCAATTGCAAGCTTTATTAAAGAGAAAAAGCATGTGCTAGAATCATTTTTTAAATAATCATTTTTTCTTAGTTATCGGGAAGAGCAATACTCGGAATCACTTTGACAAACGTCTCATCTTACAGACAGATGAAATGATCATGTAAAGCTGTGATTCTGCTAAAGAAGGCTGTTCTCTGGTTGCATGTTAAAATTACATACAGTCATTGTAAAATAACTTCACTTGTTTCCTCCAGTTGTCATTTAAGAATTTTTGTAACTCCTCCAGGCTCTTAGGACGAGTAATCGTATCATCAGTCATTTTGTTCTCGGCCCAGTCAGCTTTGGAGAGCGTTGAGTTTCCTGAACTGCTGAAGCAGCAAAATGCCATCCACTTGTGAGAGGGAATATTCACTCTGTTATTCAGTGTATCACGGCCAGGCAGAGCTCCAGTCAACACGTAGGCTAAGATCTTCTTATTGTTCTTCTTGTCACGACAGTATTTATCCATCATATCTTTAATGTCTTGTTCTTTGCGAATCCAAATGCCTTTCTCTAAGTTGCTCTTCTGTGGAATGCTGTTGGTGAGTGTGAATGTAGACTTGGCAGTTTCTCGATCAGCTGCATAACGGACTGGAAATAAGTGACCGGGACTAACGTTTTGTTTGTTATTGTAGTAGTCTCCAGTGATAGCCTGATTGACGAATGGCTCACGCATCCCAGGACCTATAGGTTCAAACTTAATAAAAGAAACACAGTCAACTTCATAAAATGAAGAAGTAAAACAACCATTCTACATTATATATATATGTAAGCTAGCAAATATATGAAGCGTTTCCATGCTACATTTGAGTCATTGTAAGAAACATCACCTGCGACTCGATCATCCAGGGAATCTTAGTTGGGTTCTTGTATTCTTGTATTCCGGTGTATTTATAAGCTGAGAAAAGAGGGATCTTCCTCGTTGTGTCGTAGAGGGTTACATACTTTTCCCTCTCCTGATATCGTTGACAGATTTTTTCATAATTACTGTCCTGTGCAGCTGAATCCTTCAGAATGCCAGGGATAGCCGGAGGCGTTTGACGGAAAAAAAAGTCACCGCATTTACTGAATTTGTCTACAGGTTCAGATGAGATGCATGAAGAAGCCAGAAGCAGCAGCAGCAAAGAGACGCTCACGATAAACAGCCTCATCTTCCCTTCAGACGAGAATGTGCTCAGGTTCAGCAACACAGAATGGGTCTCTGCTGGGACTTAAATGCTCCTCTCTAACACACGTAGATCATTCTGCAGCAGGAACAATGTTCTTTAACCCTCATACACCCACACGCTCACACATCTAATTCTGTACACTCATGCAGGTCACACTTTCTGAGAAACTGAATTGTAGGCATAATTTTGAGTGTGAAATTTTCTTTCACACCTTTTGACCTGTGAAATGGCATCTGGTGTTCTCGTATCTCATCTGGTGCTTTTCATTATTATCGTTCGCTTGAACCATTAAAAAGCATTTTTTGTTAATTGAAATAAACCTGAAATAATGTACATACAGCACTTATCAAAACATTACAGTTTTTCATGTTTTTAATGAAGTCTCTTCTGCGCACCAAGGGTGCATTTAAGTAGTCTGCTCAAAAATAGACTTAAAACAGCAATATTGTGAAAGAGTTAAAATAACCATTTGAATTTATTGTCAAATGTAATTTATTTCTGTGATCAAAGCTGAATTTTCAGCATCATTACTCCAGTCTTCAGTGTCACATGATCCTTCAGAAAGCATTCTAATATGCTGATGAATAAAAAGAGACTTCATTAAAATTATTTAAAAATCATAATGTTTCCAAACTTTTGACAAGCACTGTTTTAGATGAAAAGCTTATTTCAGTTAGTTGGCAAGGCAACATTTCATATTTTCTGAAAATAAAGTAAATAAAAGCTATCTCCTCCTAGAGCTTTCAAGCTACAACCACCAAACTCAGGTCAGACTGATCTGAATCGGGTTGCTATATCTTTTCTAACAGATCAGTTTTCATTAAATGGATGATCTAATTTACAAAAAGTCCCATAGACTTTCATTGAGGGGGTTAACATTTTTGTACAATAAGATTTATAGTGTTTAAAGGGTTAGTTTACCCAAAAATTATAATTCTGTTATTAATTACTCACCCTCATGTCGTTCCAAACCCATAAGACATTCATTCATCTTTGGAACACAAATTAAGATATTTTTGATGAAATCCAAGAGCTTTCTGACCCTGCATAGACAGCAAAGGAACTATCACATTAAAATACTCCAGCAACACTAGCAATGTGTTAAATCATGCTTGCAACATGGTAAAAAATGCTAGCAACGTGCAATATAATGCTAGCAGAATGGTAAAACATGTTAGCAATGTGCTAATCATGCTAGAAGAAACATGCTACCAACTTCCTAGCAATATGTTCAATCATGGTATAGCAAAATGTTAAAACATGTTAGAAACGTGCTAGCAACATACGAATCATGCTTGCATAATACTATATACAATACTTTAATAATAATAATACTATAACATAATAGCCTACTATAATAATAATAATAATGATGTTAGAAACATATTAGCAGCATGCTAATCATGCGAACAACACACTAGCAACATGCCAATCATGCTTACATAATACTAACAACATGCTAATTGTGCTAGAAACATGCTAGCAACATCTGGAGAGCATGCTAATCATGTTAGAAGCACACTAGCAACATGCTAATCATGATCAAAAATGCTAGTAATGTGCTAAATCATGCTAGCAGTGTGCTGGCAATCTATCTATCTTTCAGACTTCAAGCTTTTGCAACTGCTTCAATCTTTCAGGCTAGGCTTTCTCAAGGGCTAGGCTTTTTTTAAATTATTATTATTGTACTTAAGCCTTTGGTATTGCAATTAAACATATATATATATATAGCCTGTGTGTGTGTGTGTGTGTGTGTGTAATATATCGAAACTGTTGTCTCCGAAAGATTTAAGATTATTTTGGTGGGTTTTACTTGTGTGTCCAGGAATGGAAATGTTTGGGAACCCTGGATTTAGACAGTGAGATCATTCTGATATGACAACATTTGCATAAGCTTTATTAGAAAAAAGACAAACGTTTACAGACAGTCCATTTATAACAGGATCTGGGCTTCAGCACATGCTTATCAAAGTACTGTTTGTGTTCAAATGAAAATGCTAAAAATTACATGTATGAGAAAAATGGCAGCAATTAAAACCAGGATGAGTTAGGATTCTGGAAAAGCTAAACAAGCATTTTGACAGACCTCCAATCAAACATCAGAAATGATAATTCAATGTTTTTTAACCCATCTGATGCTTTCCGAGACATTTTTAGTTACAGTTCTTAAACAGCTTTACATTTTTCGCCAAGTTTTGACTCAGAAATTGCTGTAATTCCTGCAGGCTCTTTTTACTGATCGCTGCATTGTCTTTTTCTTGTTTGTTTAGGGCCCAGTAAGCTTGAGAGACCCACAATCTTTTTCTACTGTTATAGCAGCAGAATGCCGTCCACATGTAAGAGGGAATGTTCACTCTATTGTTTAGTTTGTTTTTGCCAGGTATAGCTCCGGTCAGCACATGAGCTAAAACTTTACCGTTATTGTCATAGCAATGTGTACTCATGCTATCTCTGGTCTCGTTTTCAATGCTATTCCAACCGCCGGCATTAAATCTGATATTTTGTGGCACAATGTTGGTGAGTGTGAATGTAGATTTGGCCGTGAATTCATCAGCTGCGTGACAGTTGGGAAATAAGTGACCACGATTCACTCCATAGCTGTTTTCGAAGTAGTCTTCATCAGTGGCCTGATTTCTATATGGAACAGTCATGCCAACAACATGAGGATCGAGCTGCAGATGTATATTTACAAGAAAGAGAAAGAGTTATTAAACACTAAGAGATTTCTAAAATACCTGACTAAAGTAAAACATACATAAAAAGACTTATACAGAAAAAGAAAAGAAAAGAGGTGAGGAATGACTCCTAAAACACTTGATGCACAATAACAGCAGACAAATGAGGCATCATAAAAAAAGCTGTGAAAATCATCACCTGCGGCTCGATCATCCATGGAATTCTTGGTCTTATGAAATTTCCTCTTGCAGTGTATTTGTACGCCGAGAAAACAGGAATCCTGCTTTCTGTGTCGTAGAGAGTAGCAAACGTATATCCTGAACCGACACTTGTGAAACTATATCTCTGACAGATTTTTTTGTAGCGAGCATGCTCAGAGTTCGGATTCAGGATGCCAGGAATCACCGGAGCCTGTCCTTCAGAGAAAAACTCACTACATTTATTGAACGTTTGTACAACTTCAGACCTGCCGAACGGACAGCTCAACGCCAGCAGCACAGCGATAAACAGCCGCATGTTCACAGAACTAAAGAACAAAAATGTAAACGCAAGTTCCCCAGAAGTCTCGCAGATGAAATGGCCTCTCCTCCTGCGCACTTAAATAGTTCAGCAGCTGAGATGGTGATGTACACACAGATGCACACACATCCAATCCTGTGAACCCACAAACCTAAAAAACTTGTTAACTTGAGTGTTAGTTATCATTCACACATCATCTATTCCACTACAAGCCTGCAACACATTTATACCGCATTTGGAGTCATGCTCAGAATTCACCCAAACTGCAGAGTTTCAGTTTGACTTGTCTTTAGTGACCTGTGTGTTTCACAGCTATTGGTACCATATATTGTCTATATAGATAATTTTATACTGTAAGTAAAATTCTTTTGCCTGTAGATATAGTTATACCTACATTAGAAGTATGGTTTATTGGTATGCCTATGCAAATAAAATGGGGCAATAATGTTTCAGCTCCTTTAACAATGGTGTTGAACAAGGAGGGATTTTGACCCCAGTTCTGTCTTTATATTGATGATTTGTGTAAATGTTTGAAGGCCTTGGATTATATTTTAGTGAATCATGTTATAGATGCAGATGATCTTGTGATTTTTAGTCTTTGTAGTGCTGGTCTTTAGCACCCTCTCACTATATGTTCTGTGTTTGGACTTAAAGCATGATATTATATATATAATGCAAGTAAGAGAGTGTTGTTATGATCTGCAGATCAAAAGAGGATCAGTGTTTAAATTAAATTGTCTGATAATGATCTAAATGAGTGTGAGAAGGTGAAATATATCAACCTTTTCATTACTGAGCAGCTGACAGATGATGAGGATATTGAAATGTATGACACTGTATGTTGGTGTGTGTACAGATCTGTCATTGTTCTGAGCATATTGCACACCACTCTATACTGCACTCTTGTGGTCTAACTATAGGAGAGCCAGCTTACAGAGACTTCAAGAAGTTTACAATGATGAAATGATCATTTTACTTAAGAGACCAAGATGGCATAGTCATACTGTATATTTAGGCTTTTGGTGTCCAGACATTTCAAGCGCTGTTAAGAAGAAATCTTAAGCTGCCGAATGAATGACTCTGAAAATGAAATAATTGTGAGTTTATCTCTAGCTATCAGTCTAGGTCAGGGATAGGCAAGTTTGGTCCTAAAGAGCCGCAGTCCTGCAGAGTTTAGCTTCAACCTTGAAAAAAAAAAACTCACCTGCCTGTAGCCTTAGTAAACCTGAAAACATTGATTAGTTTGTTCAGGTGTGTTTGATTAGAGTTGGAGCTGAACTCTGCAGGACAACGGCTCTCTAGGACCAAACTTGCCTACCCCTGGTCTAGGAGACATTGAAATCATTGTATCTTTGTAACAGGCTGATCTAACCTTTTCGTTTTGTCAGTGTGTGTGAGTAATAAGTTATTTATTTTATTTGATGTTTGTAGGTTTTATTATTTTTATTTTATTATTATTGTTATTATTATCACCTTGAGTCTGTAATAAAAGTTTTGATATAGCATTCTAGTATCTTGCATTCTGGGTTGCTTCTTGACGCTTGTCACAAATGCTTAATATGATGCAGATGTGTGGATCCTGCTGCCATATCATATAAGGTGGTGATACAGTTGCATATTCAATGAACATTTTTAAATCATACCTTCTGTCCTAAAATAACAAGCTAGGACCAGAATGAACGTTCAAGTTGGTCCAGGCTGGTTATACTGGTTTAGTGCTAGAAATGCCGGCCGAACAGCATGGACTTTCTGATGATGCTGGTTGGCCAGCAATGCTGATATTATTATTATTATTATTATTATTATTATTATTTATTTTTAAATAGTATTTTCAATGTAGGTTTCACAAAAGTTAGAGTTTAATGCACTAAGGATTAAGATGAACAGTAGTTAGTTAGATACATAAAGCTTGAACAAACCATCATCCAGCATGTCTGAGAAATATAAAGATCTTCTCTGACATATTGAAATATGGTGGTTTTTGACCTTTTTTGAGCTTCGAATCACCATCTATTTTAGAGCTGCTCAGACAGTCGGCCTAAATCATTTTATCCCTCATTTTGTATTTTTGGGAAGAAGGAAAACTATGCTGCTGTGTCATTCACTGGTGAATAACACAAGAGCCGTTTGAGGATTTCTTGCTGTTTTTATGTCCCATCATTGTCTATTTGTTCTATTTTAAAGTCTGTGATCAGATGTTCAGAGTTCAGTGTTCAGATGTCAAAATCAGTGATATGAGCATGTTCGATATCGTAGGGATGTGCAATATTTATCGTCGGATAATATTGTTTTTGTTGTTGTTGTTGTTTGTTTGTTTTTGTTTTTTTAACAATGTGTGAGCTGACATTATTGAGTAGGGTTGAGCAAGGGAAAACGTTCCCCTTAAGGACTGTGTAATTTTTCTGTGAAACAAAAGTAAAATGTGTCTTCTTGAATAGTTATCCTAGTTTTCAGTGACAATTACATAAATTATAAACCAAGTATGAAAAATCTCCAGAGTTTTTATGTTATTAGATTTTTAAGAAAAATTTATTTTGTACCAATGGGGTGTTTTGGCCCACAGGTGGGGTAAAATGTCCCCACCGACAAAACAATTTTCTTTATACATTTACAACACATTATACATTTACAGAAGAACATTTTTGTGTCTCAGAGCAACACTGTTTCGTTCCTGAATGAACCTGTTTTTGAATTAATCATTTGAGTCAGTGATTTAATGATCCATTCATAAAGACAGTCACTTGCTATGTTTCTAAATGAATCAGCTGGTTTGAACAAATCGTTTGAATGAATAATTGAATGAATCACTCATTAAGACAGGGGCTGCATCTGAAATTGCATACTTCCCTACTATATATGAGGTGAAAACAGTATGTGACAAAGAAGTATGTCCGAATTCATAGTACTTATAAAAGAGTAGGCAAAAAGTACCCAGATTACCTACTACTTCTGGCGCAATTCTGAAGTGTACATACGATGGACACTACAGGTGCATCTCAATAAATTAGAATGTCGTGGAAAAGTTCATTTATTTCAGTAATTCAACTCAAATTGTGAAACTCATGTATTAAATAAATTCAATGCACACAGACTGAAGTAGTTTAAGTCTTTGGTTCTTTTAATTGTGATGATTTTGGCTCACATTTAACAAAAACCCACCAATTAACTATCTCAACAAATTAGAATACTTATTAAGACCAATAAAAAAAACATTTTTAGCCTTCTGGAAAGTATGTTCATTTACTGAACATGTACTCAATACTTGGTAGGGGCTCCATTTGCTTTAATTACTGCCTCAATTCAGCCCACGACATTCTAATTTATTGAGATGCACCTGTATACTGCCCCATGAGGCCACAGAAGAGGATTTCTGAATGGCAGTGATGTGATGCAACTGATGTTGGTAGGTCACGTGAAAATGACAACATGGCGAATGTAGTACATCCAGATTAGCATCCAGAGTATGCGATTTCGGACACCACCTTACAGTAATAGCCACTAAACCAGGCCAAAAAAGCTGCAGGCAATTGTTTAAAGTATGACCAATTAGACTTTTCCTTATCGTTTTCCTTGTAAAAGATCCAAACAGCCACCGTTTTCTTTATTGTACTTGCTCTTTAGAAAATCCTGCACATTCTTTAGGCTCAGTACACTGATAGTCTTGCCTTTATCGTTGCTCTCAGCTATGTTTTCAACCCAGTGAGCTTGGGACATTCATTTTTTTACATTAATACTACTCACATTTCTACTATTTGGGCCATTCTACAGAATTGGTCCAAACTGCTGTCCCACAACCAAAAACACATTTAAAAAGCATTTAAGTATTAAAATCTTAGATGTTTACTAAGATCCTTCTATTCTCTATTGAAACCCACAATAATATTTAAAATATTAGTAAGCTTAATATACAGTAGTCAACATTTGAAGTGGATCAAAACCTTTCATCAGAGTTGTCCTAAAACCAAAACAATACCCGTTCTTGTCTTAGGACAAAGTTTTTTGATCCACTTAAAATGTTGACTACTGTATATAAAATCATTATTTATTGGGTATTTATTTTATTGCCTATATTTTCAATTGGGAGGTGGCTGTCCCGAACCCTAACCCCTAAATTTCAACTTAGGAAAATGATATTGAAATCATTTAAAAAAAAAAGTAAAGTTAAAAAAAATATATTTCTTTTATATTTTCTTTGTAAATTATGAAACTTTATGTAAAAAATGTGTCCCGCATTTTCATGTCACTACCAAAACAGTGTATGTTTTAGTCCATTGGCTGAGACTGAAATTAACTACACCCCTACATTTATGATCAGGAAATATTGATGTGTCTCTCTCTCATAGCTACAGGGTGAGTAGATAGGCCCCATCATTTTGAGGTAAATGTGCTTAAAAGTCTGAAAAATCTGTGTGTAACTCTAAGGAACGTCACTGCCGAACACCTTTTTTCTGCAATTAAGCACACCTTTTTGGGAGTTATTCCATATCATTTAATTTTTATGTGTGTAACTGTTCAGAACTGTGCTAGCTAAACATGTGCTGATTAGCATATTTGAGCTGGTTCAAAAGTATCTAAAATGGTCACTACCAAAACATTTGGTGGAGTTTCGTTAGTGACATTGTTTTTTTGAGTGTTATCCCATAAAATTGTCACTACCGAAACATGTCATCATGACAAAAGGGAACACATAATCCTCATATTTGGGGGAAATAAACAAAATTTAGTACAGTTATGCAAATTGTTTGTGTTTTAGTAGTGTTTTAGTATGCAAATTAAAATTCTGTAATGTGATGTGGTTGCTACCAAAGCATTACTGTCACTACCGAAAATGTGCAGTCACTACCGAAACATGGCATGTTTTGTCAAAAACAAAGTATACTGATTTATCAACTAAGATTATATGATAGTTTTTGGTTCAATATTTAAACTAATGAATCCTTAACCCTTGTGTGGTGTTCATATTTTTGTTACTCAGCCAGTGTTCGTGGGTCTGGTGGACCCGCTGCAGTTTTGGGTTTTTAATTCAACAAAATAAAAAAAATTATATATAAAAATACTCAACAGATGTTTACTTCATCCCAATTACAAGCAATATAAACAGCATGTATGGTCAAAATTTGCCCTTTACTTTTGCTAGATCACATTTATGAATTAAAGTGCTACAACCTTGTGCGGGAATGGCAGGGGCAGAAGCACAAAACTCACACTTACACTCACACTCTTATAGACTCTCTCTCTCCCACACACACACACACACATAAACACACATACACATACTAATAGCAGGCCCAGACAATAGGAGGACAGAGTGAAGGTACACAGGACCTAAAATTTCCACTCTTTTATTAGCCCCGGATCCAGTAGACCCAAACATCCTGTATGTATAAGTGTGTAGGGGGAGTGTACAGTGTGTGGTCATTGAAAATTTGTTCTGATTTATGTTTTTCACAGAAAATGAGCCAAGGCCTATGAGTCTGAGTTTGAAAAAATAATTTATAGTATAATTTTTCTTTTGATAAAAAGTGAAAACGGGTCCCACAGACCCGGACACCATACAAGGGTCAACTTTGAAATCAGTATGATCAACTTTTTGCCTTTTACAAAGAAAAATTGGATTCAAAATACAACAAATCTCATAAATTACACTTGAAATATTGTTAAAAATTTAATTGTTATTGATTTACCTCTGAAAAAATGTTAATAAAATATCAAAAAAATATATTTACAATGTAGATGTAAGCAAAATCTTAATAGGTCAATATAACCCTTCTAATTAAATTATTATTACCGTGTTTCGGTAGTGACAAATTTGTGGAGATGACAAATATTCCAAAACTTTCTGAAAATAAAATATGAGAATTAACTACGCAATTACTAGAAATGTGTACCTTGGATAATATGCAATTTGCACACATACAAATTTTTTGGAAAAATACATTTTTTTCAAGATGTTTTTAACTCTGACTTTGGACCAATTCTGTAGAATGGCCCATATAGAACCTACTCTTTTTGCGGTCGCAAATTAATTACTTATCCAAAAAAGTACCTTCTCAAGAGAGTGTGCGATTTTGCAGGTGGGACTTCTCACCACCTACTGGTGGTTTTAGTGTCATATTTATTTATTTAATGACAGGCCTAAACCAGCCCTGGTACCATCGCAAAACACACTCAGCAAAATATCGTTATCAGAAAAATCCCAAAAAATATCAAGATGTAATTTTTTTGTCAATATCACACACCCCTATTGATATGTCATGTTGAACAGATAAATTACAGAGGCTTTCATTTTGCATGATTGAAAGCATTTATTTGTTTGGTTACATACAGTAGACAGGGGCCGTGTTAATAAAAGAAATCTGTAACTGTTATTATTTCATGCCATCTTCACATTTAGACAAGCTTAACAGGGCATGACTTAGCCACGTAACCAGTCCCAAAATTTAGCTGGCAATTGTTTAAAGTAAGACCAATAAGACATTTCCTCATCATTTTGCTGGTCATCACTATCTTCTTTTGGAGGTTGACTTCCATCCACATTTAAAAGTATCGAACAGTCACCTTGAAACAGTGTGTATTCTCCTTTGTACTCTCCCTTTAGAAACTCCTGGACATTCTCTAGGCTCTGTTCACTGATAGTTTTGTGCTCATCTTTGCTCTCGTCTATGTTTTTAGCCCAGTGAGCTTGGGACTCCCATTTTTTGCTCTTACTGTTATAGCAGCAGAACACTGTCCACATGTGTGAGGGAATGTTTACTTTTTCATTCAGCAGTTCGTTTTGGCTTGGTACAGCTCCTGTCAGCACATAGGCCAAGATCTTATTACTGTCTTTTTCATCCCTGCAGTGAGAATCGATGACATTTTTAACTTTTTTCTCCATGAGATTCCAGCTTCCATCGTTAAAACTGATCTTCTGCGGCACAATATTGGTCAGTGTGAATGTAGATATGGCAGTGTCTTTATCAGCTGCATGGAGCTGGGGAAATAAGTGACCCCGATTCAGATCTTGTTTGTTCCAGTAGTCTTCTGTACAAGCCTGATTGACACAGGGGTCACGCATTTCAGCTGTTAGAATTTCCAACTATGAAACAGATAATTGAAAAAGATAAAGAGATTGTCAGTGAAACACTCAGAGATCTTGAGTGCGTAAAACCAGATAAATAAAGCCCATTTTGAGACATAAAGGCCCACTGACGTGCCTTGAAACTTTATATATATATATATATATATATAAAGGAAGTGAGGGTGGGACATATCGAGTGGCTCATTGCCTTTTTTTAAATAGCCAATAGCCTTGCGTTTATCCACCTTTTTCCTAGCAAGCTACATTTTACATTTTGGGAGGCACTTCTGGTTTGGGGAAGTTTCATTCAAAAAGGCTAAAACAAATCATTTCAAATCATAAGGTTGCGCTACAAATAATCCTTATCTGTCAGTTTGACTGAATGAGCTGTACATTTTCCTTCATGTTCTATTTTCAGACATAAGGAGAATAATGTAATTCTGGTAGTTTAATGTGACATGGTATAACAAGAATATCTATGGAGCTCTTTTGGAGCTAAGAGCTCTTTTCAGTCCGCTGCATTCTTTTCCTCCTGATTATTTTACTTTGAACTCCGCTGTAACAATATGAAAAAAATACTGCGCATTTGCTCTCATTTAACTGACCAAATATCCCATGAATAATGCACTGGAATGCTAAGAATCTCTTGTTTTTCTCCCCAAATCCTCACGTATCTTTCCAGGTTTTTCACATGAATGCTTTAGAATGTAACTGTCTCCCCTTTTCACTTCTAATCCCTATTATCAGTGTTTACTGGAATGTTTCTAAAGCAGGTAAATACAATATACAATATCTGTCAAAATGACAGAAATCTCTTAGAAATTATATTACTCAATGCTCCAGTTAATGAACTTTTTCTTATAAGGCAATGTACCTTACATAATATAGACAGACATATATCTGATATGATATCCAACACGTCCGTAATGTTGCTGCAAAGATAATCAAGATTTGGGGGTTATTCATGGTCTGTTTAAAGTAATTTGTTAATGTTTTTATACTTTGAAATATCATTTTAATGATCGATAGTTGAACTGAAGTACCCAGTTTTTTTATATTTATTGCATTTATAGAGCACACCTTTCACCAATTGTTTACAGTTATCGGAAGTTGCTCCCATAATTTACGCTAAGCATTATGAGGTATAGGAAAAATGTCGTTATCACAGCCGCATTTGCTAGTTTGTAACAGCATATCTCATATTCATCAATACTTGTCAATTTAGAGGCAACATTTACATTGTGTCAAACATATTTTAATTTCTCGCATAGGGTAGAGTGGGGGAAAACACCACTCTACCCTATGCGACAAACAAAAGTTAAATGTGTCCAAAATAGTTATCATAGTTTTAGTGACAATGAAATAAATTATAAACAAAGTATGAAAAATATCCAGAGTTTTCATGTTATTAGATTTTTAACAAAAATGTAATTTGTACAAAGGGGCTGTTTTGCCCCACAGGTGGAGTAAAATGACATTCTTAATGTCTTTTAAAATACCTCAAAGCATTTGGTAACTGAGAAATTGACATGATGAACCAGCCTGGTCTCATTGTTTATACATAGGTATTAGTGTGACATTTGCATGTACAAAACGTACATTTTTGTATGTTTGGCTAGCTGAAACATACTGTATAAAATGGACCTATTGACAACATCTAAAATGCAAACATTATTACATATTTACAGGTAAACAAAAATATTTATGAATATTTTATATCATAAGGATATTTGTATAGTTGCACTTTTACTATTTTATAGGTCAATTTTAGATCCCTTAGCCCTACCCCAAATCTAAACATGATCATTTGAATATAAAAAGAATATATAAAATGTAATGGACAGAAATAGCCTATGTAGGCCTACTATAACAAGTTTAGTAACCATATATGTGAACATTGGCTTAGATAACATAGATAACATTCTGTAATTTGCAGATCATTTGCAGATCATTTATGACAATTTATCATTCTTAATGTTATAGATAACATTAAGGCTAAAGCCCGGTTCAGACTACACGATTTTTTGTGGTTATGACAGTCACTGTGTCAGATTATGCGATTTTGACTCCAAAAATCTTGTCGTGTCGTGCACAAGAAACATGTCAACTACACGTTGCTACCCGACCATTTACCGCTTGCCTTCTTTAACGACGTGCGTGCTGTCATCGACACGGCGGGACTAGACAGAATGTGCCATAAGCGTAAACAAACAATGACTAGCAAACTGCGTGTTTTGCCCTGTCTTGTCATCAGAAAACCCCTAAAAAGAAAGAAAACCTGACGGGTGGACACAAATCCGGATTGCATGAAGAGGCCATTATGGACGGCAAGGAGTAGGCACTGAGGTAAAATAGTTTTTATTTGATCTTTTTTCTCTCTGTCATGTTTAATCCCTCGAGGAAACATCATACATGCAAGAGTATTATTGCCATAACTCCACAAACCTTTCCTCCATTGTAAAATTCCACCCAGCAGGACCGATACCATTGTCTCTCTTTCCTTTCGGCATATTTGAAAGCATGTATGAAGGCGCTTCTGTGCTCCTATTGGCCAGTGTCACAGATGTGACGGAACTAGTCGTGGATGACGGAAAAAATATTAAACATGCTAGTCTTTCTGTGGTGACATCATGAAGCATCGTAGATGTGGCATCGGTTGTCGTCGACTACGACACACTACATGAGATGAAACAATTGAATCTTGTGTCGCGACGCCCATTGTCGTTTACAAATTCCCACGACACCCTACGTCAAGCAGATTGTGCTGAAATCGGGCTAAAATCATGTAGTTTGAACCAGGCTTAACATATTCATACTAAAAGCCAAAAAACATCTGTTTTGATTTCATGGGGAATACAATAAAATAGTTTCTCTCAAATACAGTTGTAAAACAACAAGAAACTATAAGAAACATCACCTGCGGCTCGATCATCCATGGAATCTTTGGTCTTTTGAAATCTTCTTGTCTCTTAGTATATGTGTAAGCTGAGAAAACAGGAATCCTGCCAGTTCTGTCGTAGAGAGTTGCAAATCTGTATTTGTTCTTATATCTCTGACAGACTAGTTTGTATCGGTTATTCTGTGAAGCTGATTTCTCCAGAATGCCCTTAATCGTTGGAGGCTCTCCTTTAAAAAAAAATTCACTGCATTTACTGAATGGATCTACAACTTCAGTCATGATGAAGGGAAAGCCCAACACCAGCAGCACAGAGAAAAACAGATGCATCTTCACCTGACCTGGAAACCAAAAATAAAGCTGAAGTGGTTGTAGATACGTGAAGGTAATTTAACACGATCACAAAGGATGTGCTTCCAGAAAGAAACTCTGTTTTTATAGACAGCTTATGTCCTCTTTTTTTATTATCTGTGACTCCGATAAGTTAACTTATGCCTGTGTGTCCAGGTCATAAATTCAAGGCTATTCACATCAGTGGTGAAACTGTGAGGAGAGTAGTGGACGCAAAAGGATCCTAGCATTCTAGATAAATTACTACATTTGCATTTGGCACTCATTCATTTTAATTCAGTCACTGTGTGCAAATGACCAGGCCAATGCAAATTCACTCCATGATACTATGTTATGGAAATATAGGCCTAATATGACTGGAGTTTAGTTATCTTCTGTTAGTTTTATAGCAATGAGCAAACTTTGTGGCTTCTACATAAGATTTTATTGTGAGTAAATATAAAAAGGGGAAGTCGTAGCCTAATGGTTAGAGAGTCGGACTCATAACCCAAAGGTTGTGGGTTCGAGTCTCGTACCGGCAGGGATTGTAGGTGGAGGGAGTGAATGTACAGCGCTCTCTCCCACCTTCAATACCACGACTGAGGTGCCCTTGATCAAGGCACCGAACCCCCAACTGCTCCCCGGGCGCCGCAGCATAAATGGCTGCCCTCTGCTCCGGGTGTGTGTACACGGTGTGTGTGTGTTCACTGCTGTGTGTGTGCGCACTTTGGATGGGTAAATGCAGAGCACTAATTCCGAGTATGGGTCACCATACTTGGCCACATGTCACGTCACTCACTCATAATACAGTTGATCTGGAGGACTAATTACAACATTGCCTAGAGCAGTTGTATAAATGGTTTGCGTGTGTGGCCCCTTTAAAAGGCCTACAACATACTTTTGGGGGAAAGTTTAATTAAAAGTACTATACTAGCCATAATACTTGTTTGAGTTTCCAGTGATTACCCATCTCTAGAGAGCCGCTCCTATATTTTCTGATTCGCAGTTAGTACGTGGTGAACACAAACAGTGGTGTCAAAGACATTATGAGTGATGCTTATCCCAAAAATACACTTAACAAAGCATGTACTCCGTGCTACAAATGTCATTGACATGATAAATGAATCCACTTTTTTCCTAATCCGACTACTGCGTTATACTTCCAGTTTTAAAGTGAAAGTGACATGACCTGTAGCCAAGTATGGTGTCCCATACTCGGAATTAGTGCTCTGCATTTAACCAATCCAAGTGCACACACACAGCAGTGAGTAGTGAACACACACGTGGGGGGTTCGGTGCTTTGCTCAAGGGTCTAGTGTTGTTTTTGGTGGCCTGTTTTAATTTTAGTCTAGTCTTTGTGTGAAACTGTCATTTTAGTTTTTATTAGTTTTAGTCACGTTCATACTCTTTTTAGTCTAGTCAAGTTTTAGTCAACTAAAAGTCTGATAAATTGCTTTTTAGTTTTTCAGGTAGGTGTCACGATGCACACACGAGGAACGAGGAGACACTGAAGAATACGTTACCAAGACTTTATTTTCAGGAACCAAGGGACACGAACACAGGAAAACCTTTAACAGCGGACAGAGAACTAGGGACTGGGAACACTTTTTATACACACAGGAGGAGGGGATGACGAGACACACCTGGGAGCCATGAAACATCAAGGGAAACACCTGGGACAAATCAACCAAGGGAAAGGAAGGCACACGAGGAGCAAGACACACACAAAACATGGAACAGAGTCTGACAGTAGGTCTAACACACAGTAGGGCTATTAAGAGATTTTTATTTTTTTATTTTTACCAGTCATAATTTTCGTTGACGAAAGCAACACTACAAGGGTCTCACCTTAGTTGTGGTACTTAAGGTGGAAGAGAGCGCTGTTCATTCACTCCCCCTACCTACAATCCCTGCCGGTACCGAGACTCTAACCCCGCAACCTTTGGGTTACAAGTCCGACTCACTAACCATTAAACCATGACTGCCCCTTGGGAAGTTACTTTGGGGAAGTTCCACTCAAAAAGACTGCAACAAATAATTTCAAGTAAGTCTGCACTGCAAATAATCCTTATCCATTATTTTGACTGAATGGGCTGTACATTTTAATTCATGTTCTGTTTTCAGAAGTCAGGAGGGTAACATTACGATCGGTATTTTAATGTGACGTCACGTGATATAGGCTAACAACAATATCTATAGAATAGCTCTTTTCAGCCCGCTGCATTATTTTCCTCATTACTTTAATTTTTCCTTTGTATTCCTCTGTAACTATATGAAAAAGACAACAAATATTGTGCATTTGTGATCTGCTCTCCCGATTTTTTTTTATGATATAAAACATGAATAATTCACTGGAATGCACTAAGAATCTCTCAACTTTCTCCCCAAATCCTCACATCTTTTTCATCACATCAGCTTTATTTTCACATGGATGCTGTAAAATGTAATTGTTACGTAATAGTAAAAGTTGTTACTATAATGATATTTAGCACGTCCGTAATATTGCTGCGGATGGCTAATCAAGCTTTAGGAGTTATTCATGGTATGTTGAAAGTAATTTGTTAATGCTTTTACATTTTTCAATTTCCTTTTAATGATCGATGGTTGAAGGGTGAGTAAAATAATGTCACCTATTTTACCCAAGCAGCAACCTCCCGCTCTCTCTCGTGAAGCCAACACGGAAGTGACTTAAACTGTAATTCATCGACTGGCCGCTAGAGGCTGGCTGCAAAAGGGAGTCAATCCCATAGACTCCCCATGTTAAAATGCCCAACTTTACAGCAGAAAAAAACATGTTTACAGCCTGGCTCAAAAAATGATTTTGGTCTATATAGCTAATTTAGCCCTCACGGACACTACATCCATGTTTTTATACAGTCTATGATTGTACCCAGTTTTTGAAAACGCTTATTATTGCGATCATAGAGTGAACCTTTTGCTGATTGTTTACAATGTAAACTGAAGTTACTCCCATAATTCGCGCAAAGCGTCATGGGGCTTTGGAAAAAAAGGTGGATTCTGATTGGTCAACTGTGTTTTATTCACAATAAAGCATGGCTATGACCGCTTCACCCAATAGGTGTATCACTGCCCAACACCCATAGCAACATAAACAATCAAGATAGCATCAAAACTATTCCATGTATTATGTATTTCAGCAAAATTAACTGTTTGTTATTTATTTAATGAAGTATGAGTGACCCCTGCTGGCGTTACATAATTCACCGTAATTTTGGCAAAAAGAATCAATCTCCGATACTGTTGTTTTTTTGTTTTTGTTTTTTTGTTTTTTGATACAAGCTTCGGTGCTTCCATGTTGAACTTAACATCACTACTAATCTGGTCAGTCGGTTTTGTATATTGCTCATGTGCTGGATGTGAATGGTCACAATGTCCACAGACTGATTTCACAGCACAGTGAGAATGCGAACTGGTTCTTTTGGACAGTTCATTTTAATAAACCAGTTTTAAAAAATTGGTTCATCAGTTTGCTTAAATTAAAGTTTTCCAGCTATAGCACCCAATAAAGGCAATTATGTGATGTTTTACAGGTCTAAAACATATAAAGCAAATAAAATAGCCATAAAGAAACTTAAATTTCTCTCCTTCATCAGTTCTCGGTTCATGTCAGCAGCTCATCGATTCTCTATGGACGTGTCCAAGTTTGTTAAATTATACTACAACATACTGTAGTATACAGAGTTCATGCATTCATGACCTCTAGACTGGACTATTGTAATGCACTGCTAGCTGGTTGTCCTGCATCTTCAGTATTGACTATAGTGAGTTCATAAACTGTAGTAAATACTGTAGTAAACTTTAGTATTTACTATATTAAACTGTAGTAAATTGTAGTACACTGTAGTGTATTATAGTATTTACTACACTTTGTTAATTTATACTACAGAATACTCTAGTATTAACAGTTTGTAACTGTAGTAAAATTAAGTTTTTACTATAGTAAACTGTAGACATACTGTAGTATATAATAGTATTTACTACACTTTATTAATTTATACTATATCATAATGTAGTATTAACTACAGTGATAATCAGTGAGTTACTCTAGGATACTCTAAGAAAATACAGTGTGTTCTGGTGTTCAGTAAGGTGTACTGTACCACTCTGTACTTTTCGAAACCAGTAATCATTTGTATCATCGTCTAAAGGACATTTTGTAAGGCAAACAATAATTTAATTTATTTAATTTATTTATTTTTTGCTTTTTTAACAATAACTACATGACAACAATTATCAGCGCTCGTATACATATCTATGGCTATAACTGCTAAGTGTTGGCTGAATGTTGCCATAGAAACAGCATTGGTAAATTAACGCAATTCTACTGTACGCATTAGACCCAGTGAACTGCATGCAAATGTTTTCTCAGTTCAGTGTACTGGTGACTTGAGAACTGTTAATCGGCTCTTGATTCAAGAGAGAGAACTGCTGTCACAGTATTAGCTACTGTTGAGTCGAAATCTACAGCCATTGGATCAGTGTTATATTTCCAATACGTTCTATTTGTTAAACTTTCTGCTGTTCAGCAAAAGACATCCGAAACATTTCATCCCACTTTATGAAACCATTGGCGGATTGATCATATACGCCCATATATTGGCTCATTTCGAGTTGGAGTGACACATCTAAAACAGTCATTCTTGAGAAGTGGGACAAAACGGTGCAAATTTGAAAAAATAAAACCTTGTACTCAGACAAATGAAACTACATTTATGTATCTTATATGTACTAAGCTACTGAGCTATGCTTTGATACAACCTCCCAACTTTTCTCTTTTTTAACAAAATGTGCTTTTTTTTCTTGGACTGTGTAATATAATTTCAGCTTTATCTTTAACAGCATTCAAGATGTTTTTAACATTTCAAAACACATTCTCGTGTTAGCAGACAGATTACACTTTCACATGTGACCAACAATTCCACAACAAATATAAAATATCATAATGAAATATTATCAAAATATTCAACTGACGGAGGTGACAGAACCGACGGAGTTGACACATCTGACGGAGGTGACGAAAACCTGAATTTGTAATAATTTTAACTATCAAATACATTGAATCAGTCAATTACTGTATTACAACAAACACATCAAACAGTGAGTGTTATTATTTATAAAGCTTTTATTCAAGAGTCACGTTGAAATATTTTGATATATCATTGGAACACAAAATCTTATGGTGGTGACATCTGACGGTGTTGACAAATTTGGCATTTCTTTCACAAAACCAATGGAGTTCATGTAGTAGCCATTTTATTTTTTTCTGTTGATGCTAGATGCTAATGGAACCTGCTTCAGGAGAATACAATTATCCAAATATTTCAAATAATTTCCTCAGAAATTGGAAGATGGTGTTGACATATCATGGCTGTGACAAAGGAAATATTAACATTAGGATTTAAAATATTCTAAAACTATAAAACTTAGCAGAGCCTGTCTGACACTGATGTACTCTGCAGAGGTGAACTGTGGCAAGGGGGTCCTTTAGAGTGACAGCTGCCCCTGATATTCCCTGATTTTATTACATTTTATTGAATGTCTGACGGTGTTGACAAAAAGTGGGGACGCAACTTTAAAATCTTATTAAACATGCATGTGTCATTAAAAAACAACCTTGCTTTGATAGGAGATATTATTAAGTGTTGCTTTTGATAAAACAAGCTCTATTTCATCATTAAAAATTTTTTTTTATCCATTTTATTGCATATGAATGATTGAACCCTTCTCTGTGGACACACTGTTTTAGACGTAGTGAGAGGACATTAAGAAACACAGATTAGGTATAATAATGAGAAAATTAAATTGAAGGTGATAATTGTGTTAAATACATTCTATTATTAATCCCTCATGACATTTAAAATTGAAAATATTTTTATTTTTTAAAGCTAATAGCAGTTACCCTTGCTGGACCTGTTTTGTCCCACGTCTCAAGAATGACTGAAAAATGAG